AGAAGAAGCATAAAGCCAAGTTAGACTAGTAAATGTGTTCAAATTAAAAAAACTGAAGATTCAGAAAAAAGGATACTTTTTGGTTGAGGTTTAGTTGAACAAAATTTTATACCAGATTTTTAGACCAGTTTTCCAAATGTTTATTTGCATTATTACAAGTTATTTACGGAAGAAAGGTTATTATCAAATCAATATCATTATATATTATTATAGTTTGCACCAGTTTCAGGCAGTGTATTCAATATACAAATATAATGAATTTTTGGAAGAAAGTCTTATACCAATTTCAATCAATCATTTTCTTTTTTTTTTTTCTACGAAATCTGTGCGCTGTTAATTATTTTTTTTTTTTTTTTTTTTTTTTTTGAAATTTATTATTTATTTTTCAGGCTGAGAAGTCACTTTTTCATTCAATACTAAATCCTTTTAGACTCTTTTTGATAAACATCATCTTCAGTCTTCCTCTCCTCAAAACCATCTTTTTCTTCTGCTTTATATCAGTCAATTTCCTGCTGCTCTTCCTCTCGACGCAGAACGAAACTACAAGTTCAGCGACAAGTTTGCAAGTTTTCTCTAAGCAACAGTGTTTGCTATCCAATTTCCTGTTCGCTACAACTCAACTTCACACGGAACGGCGATGAGCAGAGGTGTGTCCTGAGTTTACTTGCACCGTCTTTACTACACTTTTGTTTCCACCTCTCGCTCACTTGCCCAACCCCGAATTTATTAACTTTTTCACTGTTTTATTACGCACTTTTGTGAACCTTTCAGTCTTCATGGCTTTCTTCCTCTTCCTTTCTACCTCTTTTCATCTTTTCTGTTCACATTAAACGCCGTTTCACCCCTCAAACTCAGTGACAAACTTTCTTAAAGCACTCGCGTATCTTCATATGAAAAGTTTTTGTAGTTGTTGTTGTCTTAAGCGAAAGTTATGATAATTTTTTTTGTCCGTCTCAGAAGATTTAAAAAATTTGTGCATAAAAAATTCGCTCTCCGGAAAAAAGTTGCAAATATTGAGAGCAGAAGTCCGGCTCTGAAATCCAGTGCAGCGATAAGTTTTTATACTTTTTTTGCACAAAAAAAAAATACTAAAACACATGTTTAAGTAGTAATGGCGGGAAGCCATGGCGTATGCGCAACCTCACTGCTGGTGGCTGATGTCGAGGAGGTGAATCTTAGTATAAAGAAATAAATAAATAAATGATTGCAAAAGTGCGCACATGTGGCGAGAATTTAAAATTCCAACTTATTGCTTTTCTAATCTGCATTTATAGGCGTTGATACAGGCACACAAAGAGGCGAACACACATATATACATGTTGAGATATAAGCACGAAAGCAACTGCATATAACAGTCGTTGCCGAAGAGTAAGAAAGAGGAACAGCATTATTTGTTGTTTTTTGTCAAATTTCTTAACATAACTACAAAATGGCACTGAAAATTTTCTATTGGTAATTTATACCAGTCTTCAAGAAACTTGCTTTTTTCCTTGGCTAAGCTTCGAAATGTTATAAATCTATTTTTGTCATGTTTTCTACAAAACAACACCAGCTGTCTAAACACTTCTTAACTGAAAATATTGAGTTTTTATCTTTATGCCAGTTTATAATATCTTTTGAAAAATATTGATAATTAAAGTTTTCTCAGTTGGAATTGGGTTTTAAGTAATAAAAAAAAACACTTTAAAGTTATTTAAATTGATCCGTAATTATACTAGTTTGCAGTCTTTTTATTTGAAATAATTTATACTAGTTTATCGAATATACTTCGAAACCTTAAAATTTTCATAATATGAAGAATAACAAACTGGTATAAGTATTAGATTCGTTCTTTATTTATCATTGAATTTATATTCTATATCTATCTAGGCAGTTTCTCTATGAAATGCTCACTTTTGTTGAAGAATTATAGCAGTTAAAAATTGGTATAAAATTTTATATTTATTTTTGATCAATTTAAACTTTTTTATAGTCTTCTAATAAAATTTGTAGTTTTCCGATATGAAAGTAAAATTAATAACAAATTATCTTCCTACTTTCAACTCCAATGTATATGTATTTAAACTGGTCGAATATGACTGTTGAAAAACACCCATTCCTATTGCGCAAAATATTTAAATTTGCCTACTCAGCTGCCAAAAAAGGACGTGGTTTTTGCTTCACCACAAATACCATGGTATTCACTGCAGCGCTTACAACTCGCAAGCAAGCCAATCCACTAACCACTAACAAGCGAGTTAGAGCAACTAGAAAATCCAATCAACTGTAAGGAAACCCCCCAGCAACGATGAGCCCAAAAATTGGCTGATTAGCGGCCGAAATGTTCCCTTGCTAACGTTTTTTAGCGCTTGTACACACGCACGCACACGCATGCACACACACGAACACGCATAAATCAGCCTGAATGTATGCTACACTACCAAAAGCTGGAGAAAGATTCGACATTGTGGTCGCATGTATGTAAGCTTCGGCCAAGCGAAATTTATGAGCAGCCAAGCGCAAGTGAATCCATTGAGAAACCACGATAATGCGGATGTGTTGTTGTAAAAAAAAAAACGAAACGAAAACGCGAAAACGCTACGCGACTATGCAAGTGGATTGAAGAAAGCACTGAAAGGCTGAATGGATTATGTGTGAGCCTGTGAGACTGTGAGCGCCAGACAAACTTTATGAAGTGTTGCCTCAACTCAACTGAAAAATATATAAAGTTGGCTGTCTTAACTAGTAAGTAGATCAGCGTAGCTTCACCGCTTGAGCCGCAGCGATTCTTGAAAGTGGCGCTTAAAGAGGACGAAACACATATGGGAGTGAATAAAAGCCTTATGGGGAGAGTAACTGCCTCGCTATTAAGTTGGTGCAGGCAGTTGGAAAAAATACTCATGGCTGGGATTGATGGATTGAGTGCGAGCATAAATGACACTGAGTACAGGCGTATGTGATGGTAGAAAGAAAATGACCTTAAGTGGAAAGTGGAAATAATGAAGTAGTAGTTGAGGAAGTACTGACAATCGCTGATGTTTGTTTATTTAAATGTAAAACGACGCTGAATTCTTTAAAAGTAACCAATAAGTCAATCTAAAATTCAAATTCGAAATTTTTAATCAAAATAACTTTAACAACGGATTTGAGGAGAGAAACTTCTTAAATAATAAGCCATACAAATTCAACGGCAGCAAAATTTTAATGAATTTGAATTTAGACCAGTTTCAAAATATGCCTCTTTCGGTACAAAATACTGTGTGGAGTAGTTGAAAATACCTTAAGCCAAAAAGTTTGTCATTAAAATTGATTTTGCATTCCGCCAAGTTTCGACCAATTTTCAAATTGACCACAAAATTTAAAATCTCTTTGGAAGCGGTTATGGAAAATATTTTTTATGCAAATAACATTCAAAACTCTTGGGAGATCGGAAAGTTAAAATAATACAATTTTTCTTTAATCTGATGATATCAAAATTTACATCATTTTAGACCAGACTCTTTGTAGGAGGAACAATTTAAAATTATTCTAGAAATTTTAACAATCTTTAATAATTTCCACTAGGAAAAATTGCAATGCTAAGTTTGTATAGAAAAAACATGCCACACACATATATTTTCCTCAAATAAGAGCCACCACACTTTTGGCCACTAAAAGTGCGTAACGGGTTATGAAACATAGCATACTTTCCGGCACGACAGCCAATTAAAGGAACTAATTAAAATGTAATATAAAAACAGCAATTTTCATAGCGACCCAAGCACATATGTTGCAAGTCAATCCACAAGCATCTGCTGCACATGGCAACACACAGAAACACATATATATTTATATAAGCATCACATATGCATACAACGCAGACAGCCTGAATGTAGGCAAGGAAAAATTGAAAATGACATACAAATTGAAAGTTTATCATTTGCGTTGGTTTATAGAAAACTTCACTGGCAAGATGTTTGCGTGAGAAGAGCGGTGACGGTGCGGCATAAAAGACAAAGGTCCCACGCACAGGCAACTAAATGTGAAAAAGGGGAAACATTAATGAGCTTTGCCGCAAATGCTGTCATACGAAACTTTTTTTGTGCTCCAACCGCTGTTGCTTTCTGCTACCAAAAGACGCACGCAAATCACTTGAGCATGTTTTTGTTTCATTGTGTGTACATAAGTAAATATTTATGTATTTATATATTTATTGCTGGAAGTATTATTATTATTATGCTGGCAGTGTTGTTTTTGTGTCTTCCGCTCGTCTAATTAAATCACATTTTGCAAGCGTGCTTTCGCCACACAACGCCTTAAAGTATGCCAGAATTGCTGAGTAGCCGAAAAAATAAGGAGATGCAGAAGAAGCAGCAGAAAGAAATAGAATCTTTTTGTCTGTGTCTTAAGTATGTTTCTATATGTATGTATATACTATGAGCTTACTGGGGCAGCAAATGTTGGCTGACAAGTGTATGACGTACGTTGCGCACGTGTAACGGTATAGTAACAACGAGATGATGGTGGCAAGCGGCTTTTGTGCGTGGGCTTGGAGGTAATTAGTGTAGGGTATGAAGACTGTAGCTGGGGTAGCAAGCTTTTAATGATGAGAAAGGTTTAAAATGTAAAATTAATTATTTTTTAGTGTGAAAATAACTATGGAAAGTTTAATAGCACTAATTTTGATAACAAATTAAAACTGGTCTAAAAGTTTAAGCAGCTCGTATGCATGCTTTATAAATTCTAAAAAAAGAAACATTAAGTGACTTAAAGTTTAGAAAGCTACTTCCAAATTTTAGACGATTTATTTGATATTTTTTAATCATTTGCGACTGATGTAGGCACATTAAGAAAACTCGTCTAATTTTCAAAATTTCATATGTGCTTTATTTCTGAAAATTACTTCTAAGAAGTCTTTTTAATATTTTCATAATTTTTCACCCTTGTATTACAAAAGTTTTCGAGCTAAATAAATACAATGATTTTGTTTAAGTCAATAATTAGAAAAAAATTAAAAACCCTTTTCGCTTACTCTCTTTCAGATGAATTTTGCGAAGAATACCCACACAATCTCATGCCAACGCCTGGCTATTGGATCGAGTGTTCACGCCAGAAAATCACACTCCAAACGCCGCACACGATCTGGGATGAGAGCGACTCGGAGCACGAGGACATACGAGCGGGCAGCTCCAGCGATGCATATCTCGAGCGTGAGTGCAGCGACCTCTACGAAGACGATGAGGACTCGGAAGCGACACCAAGGTGAGCTCGCAAAGAAACAGAGTGGAACAGAGCACTATATATGTATGTAAATAGCACCCCGTAGTAGACAAAAGTACACGAGACGGATTAACTCTCACAAAAGAACTCCAAATTTTTATTGGCACAAAGTTTTTGATTTTTGCCTTTGAAGAGAGCAAAAAAATATTACCAGATTTTTTAAATAATTCCAACTTTTTGTTTCCCTTTCCCTTTTGAAACACAACGCGAAAAATTCCATTTACCGTTACTCCCCCGCTTTCAACACACGCCCACATTTTCATCACACCCGCACGAAAACACCTACACACACACACATTCGTTGAACAATTTTATACGAATGTTTAAGTCCTAGGAAAAAGACAACAATCGAAGACCAGTGGGATCAACAGGGCGCATTCGAGCTCATCTCCGTCGAACAGGAGACTTACGAGAAGTATTTCTACGGCACCGAACATTGGAACTATTTCACGAGCGATGAGGATCTCGGACCGGTCATACTCTCCATTAAGCAGGAGACCCTAAACGGACGCGATCAATTTCGCATTTTGGTGCGCGCCGGCTCCTATACGGTGCACGGGCTGATACCGGCCTCGTGTGTATTCGCCGATAGGTGAGTGGAAGGGGCCCGCGGGGCGGAAATTAATGCATTACTAATTTGCTTTCGCCTCTTTGCAGATATAATCGCGAGGAAGTAGTTAGATCTTTAGGTAAAGAAGTAAATTTAAATCCACCCTTAACATTAGGCCAGCTACCCGACACGCCCGAGGAACTGCTGAAATTAGATCAGGTATGTGTGAGGGAGATAGAAAGAGATAGATAGATAGGTTCGTTCATATTCCCAACTTCTTTCGCATTCTCTTTCTCATTATTTTTGTCCTCTCTCTCTTTCGTGTTCAAAATGTGGTAATACTTTTATTCACCACCCTAAAGGTTTTTATAAAATCCGAGCTAAAAGTGGGCGTGATCTATGTCAAGGAGGATCAATATTCGGAGGAGCAAATTTTAGACAATAACGACAATTCCATGCTTTTCGATGAATTCCTAACGTTACTCGGCGATCGTGTACGTTTACGTGGTTTCGACAAATACAAAGGTGGCCTTGATACGGTGCATGATTTGACAGGTAAGTTCGGGGCTCGAATGTTCTATCAAGAGATTGAGGCAGGCACGCAGGGCTCAAGCAATGAGAATACTCTTAAAAGAGAGTGAAATAACGGTAGGGAGATGATTACGTCGACTGCAGGAAGTAAAAGACTGCCTCTGAGACAGGAACTGTAGCAAAGACTTATTTGGAAAGAGAGATTGAAGCGGTAAGAGGGACAATATTATAGAAATATATGAAGAGAGTTCAGGCTGAAACCGAGACTGATACTAAGGCTGGCACAGGCCTGGACTATATTTGAGACGGAAATCGAAAAGAGTTTGCTCAGAAAATATTTAAAAATAACTCAAGTTCATTGTCCGAGACCATAGAACAGAGTAATCGACCGAAAAGACAATATGATTCTTCCCAAGGATTGCCACTGAGAGTAACTTCTAAAATGAGGAAATAATCAGACCGAAGCTTGCCCTAGAACAGACACAAAAGAAAAGAGCTAGGGGGTAACCTCGGTACGGATATGCAGGTCGACCAAAGAGCCATGTTGTACAGTAGCGGTGAGAAAAGAATATAAACGTGCTTGACCTCGGCAGATCTCTCAGAATTTTAAACAATAATTTCTCTTTATATTTCACTTTCCCTTCTTATCCACAGGTCTCTATTCGGTTTACACCAATTGGCGTAACATTGAGATTATGTTTCATGTATCTACGCTCTTACCCTATGAGAAGCATGACCCGCAGAAGCTACAACGCAAGCGTCATATAGGCAATGATATAGTCTGCGTGGTGTTCCTGGAGGCAGACAATACACGCTTTAGTCCTGCCTGCATTAAGTCACATTTCCTGCACACATTTATATTGGTGAGTCACTTTTCTAGGGAACCGAGCTTTGAGCTCGTCAACTCACTCAAAATTTTTGTAATGCTCTCTCTTTCGCACACTCTCTCTTGCATACACTCTAGGTGCGTGTCTCGGCTCGCATTAAGCACAAACCCACACGCTATGAGGTTTCGGTGGTGACGCGTGATGAAGTTGGCGCCTACAAACCGTATCTGTGGGAGCAGTCAGTTTTCGAGAAGGGGCCAATGTTTCGGTGAGTGACTTTATCGGAGATCTAAATTTGGTCCGTCTCTAATGTTGCTGTTTTTCGCGCTTTTTGTCTCTTCTTCTTCTTTCTCTCCTTGCAGCGAATGGCTGCTCACGAAAATCGTAAATGGAGAACGTGCCTCGTATTCGGCGCCAAAATTCGCGCGAATGCAAGAGCGCACACGCTCGCAAATGCTCGAGGATTTGGTGATGAATTTGTCGAACCACGCTGAGACGGGCCAAATACCGAAACCGTACCGTAGGGGCTCGTGGCGACCCATCGGTGAGGATGAATATAACAAAATGTTGCATGCAAGAGTTTTAGCACAAGGGGCGGCCACACCGCAATCGTCGTCAGTGGGCGTTGATGTGTGCTGTGTTAATCTCGGTTCCAAGCATAGTATGTAGGCGTTGAGTTGAGCCTTAAATTGCCGTTCCGTTGCGAGACCCACTCTATATTCGTTTGAATAAAAAATTAAAATTAATAACCTGCAATTTTTTTACGCAACAACAAAAGTTATAATCAAAAAATGCATTTCTATATAATTTTACTTCTCTTTCTTTCGGCCAAATGCTTGCGAAAATCATTGTTTCCAGTAAGAATTGCAGTAAAAAAAAATTTAACAACAGATGAAATTCAAAATTTTTCGTGAATTTTTCTTTTCAAATATTTAAAATTGGCATTTTGGTCTTTAGACCAGTTTTGGTAAAGCAAACATATCCACTGTACTCCACCAGATTTTACCAATTATAATTACCCGAAAAAATCTTACTAAATGTGTAGTATTTAAAAATAAAAACCAACCTTATTTTTTAGATTGGCCAAAAAAACTCAATTTCGACCAGTTGAAACCCAAACGCTCAAAATGCTTGAAACCAACCGATTTTAAATTTAGCATATATGTGTATATTATGTTTTTATGTAAATAAAATTATTTTTAACTGCTATTAAGTTTTGATGTTTGTGCCAAATTTTAAATTATGCCACTTTTCTAATTGCATGTGAATTTTTGGCACTTTTTACAAACCAATTTCAGTTCAAATTACACTTATTTATATACCCTACTAATAATAACTATATTATACCAGTTTAGGTTTTATACCAAACTATAATTTATGAAGTTTACTAAGAACTTTCAAATAATCCCACTTTCTTATGCACTTTAATATGTTAAATTTTGAAAAACACGCTAGTCGCAATATTTTTAGACCAGTTTATGATTTTTGTCAATCTAGCTAGAAATATCCACATGTTTACTGCATAACTAATTATAAAAATGCAAAACTTTCCCAGTTTTGTTTATACCAGTTTTTAAATCAAAATTTTGTATGCCAGATCTTTCAAAATTTGTTTCAAGCCACTATATATTTAACCTTTTTATGAAAGATTTGTGTTTCCTTAGTTTATACCAATTTATGTTTGTTATTAGCCAAGGATTGCTTCATAACTGAGAGCAGAGGTTCGCATGAAAAGTTTTTTATTGACAACATATTATAAAATTAATTTCGCTCCACAATTCTGAACGATTAAATTTTTGTCTCAAAATACTTCAATATAAGGTTTACTATAAAGAAATCGATAATTTTTGAATCGACAATGTGCATGATTTTAGCGACATTTACGACAATTGACCTTCCTCTCCATATAGCATTTTTTACATCAAAATTGCCGGAATGACACCAACATTGTGAAAAAAAAATCTTTCTAAACCTAAATTCGCCTCTGACTCCTGCCATTGGACTCTAACAAATTTTTCTCATCAGTTTCACTTTAGTCCAATTTATGCCAGATTATATCAGTGGTGAGAGAAATCTCAATTTCCAACAAATTCTACATTTTTATGTTAAAAAGTACCGTTTTAATATGAAGTCAACAAATTATAACAGTTTCCAATAGATTATAACAGCTATACCAATTTATACCAGTTTCCAAAATCACTCGAAATTCGTTTTTTCTACTATTGGTATTTTGAGTAAACTTACCATTATTTATTTCTTTGTGTTTTTCACTTAAAATTACCCTAAACATTTTATGCCAGTTTTTATTCAAACAAAAATTTTACATTGTAACTTGTAAAACACTTATAATGCATTTTTATTGCCACTGCAGTCCCCTCTAACCCATAACACATCGTTTAAACCACACTTTTTACGCACGCACACTAATTACAACACTAACAAACGTGTCCACATCTATTTTCTGCCCGAAACAACCCACTTTATTACCTTGCCATGTAGTGAAATAAAATTTACGCATACAGGCAATCCATTTGCCATGTCAAACACACACGCTGTTATCAACATCTCGTAAAATCGTACTCGAGCACACTAATTGCCGTTGCATTCTAATCGGCTTATACCAGCCTGTGTGCTACACACGTAAATATGGATGAATGTCTGTTAGTGTATATATGTATGTATGTATGTATGTATATGCGTGTGTGCGTGTTTGCCTGTAAAATCAAATGCCAATATATCACATATTAAATCCGTGGGAAAAAAAGTTGGTTTCATCATTTCATAGTTTGTTGGGCAATTTGTGTCTCCCGTCCAGCGTCTCGCAATGATTAATTGCTCTCCAACAATTGTGCCAGTGTACATGCTTCTAGGCGTCAAAAAATCCCACAATGTAATAGAACTAAAAAGTGTTTGAAATCCAAGTCAATGTTGTACCATTTTAACTCATGCAATCGATATGTTCCCGCTCAAAGGCCCCTTAAACAGTTTATATGACAAATTGTTGCCTACTTTCGAGCGCTAACTTGTATTTCGTATGTTTTCAACACACTCTCTCACCTTTTACTGCTGCTGGCAAGCTTAAATGCTGTGCTCTTATCAAAAACAAGCAATCAAAGTGTTTCGCTGCTGGCTTTGAACGTAAAACAACCGTTAGTTTATGCTTCAACGCAAAAGATAGTGACTTTTTGGCTGACAGCAAGGATATTACTAAATTGCACAAAAACTTATCTCACACAAGCTTTTGTGTTTGAGTGAGAGAGGGAAGGAGTAAAGGAATACAAGAGAAAAATTGCCACAAAAAATATTGTGTACATTTGGGCGTTGCATTAAGCCTATCAGCAGTGCCGAATCTCGCTTTGTCCGCAAAGCTGCTCTAAAACATATTCTATTTATTTGTGCATTTATTTGCGGAAGTGCGTAGATATGTTTGTACGTGTTTGGGTTATATAAGCTTACAACAGCACAGTGTACATATATTTGTTTCCGCCCTTGTGGGCTTTCTCTACACCGGAATGTGACAGACAGGATATGTTGTATGGCAGGAAGAGCATATCCCCGCTTCGCATATGTATACGGGCCCACCACATGTCCTGGTAGTACATAACAATAACAAATTGTTATCATCTATCAAGTTGGGCTTTGCTCTGATACTTCATACATACATACATATAGGTTTTGGCAATTTGTGTTTGTATTTTTATTATTTTTTTATTTCTTTTTTATTTTTTCGTTCTCTTTAAGCTGCTACCTCACAGGATATACTCGTTTATGGATTCTACCTGCTTCCGTGCATTTTTTCTCTTTGATAAAGTGAAGTGTTTTGTTAGCTTTAACTGTGATGATGTCTTAGCTTTTATTTGAAAACGTTGGTTTAGGAGCCTTGAAGTATACCACAATTTACATACTCGGCTCGATAATCCCTTTGTTATCCAGAGGTAAGAACGCCCTTATGTAACAACACACACAGAGCTCTCAGATCCGCCTCTGACGATCATCGCCGTGGTACAAAGAAAGGAAGGGAAAGTAAAGAACGTCTGTTCTCTCTAAAATTACAGATAAAAGATAATTTATAAGCCTCGCGGAAAAGAGAGAGATTGCAATATAATGTGGAATAAGAGAGATTTATATATATTTAAGTGAGATGAGAAATAAGCTACGAAATAATGCAAAGCTTAAAGAAAAGTGAGAGCATTTAGAAGTAATTTTGAGAGCTGAGATTAAATATTTAAGAAAAATCAGCCCGAAAATTACATAAATAGTTTTTTCGATTAGTAATTCGTCTTATGGCTACTTGGATTTAATGGTTTATATTTTGTTTAAGCTTTCTGCAAAGCTCCAAGTCTTAGCAGTTCTCGCTTGCAGTCTTCTAACTGAGAAACAAGTAGAAAAAAGCTGGCCAGTCAAGAATCGGGGAAATAATAATAAAAAATATTAAATTCAAGGAGTTCCCCCACTTGTTTTATTTTCTCCCACTGCCTCGCCTATTCTCACCCCACTCGCTCTCACACACGCATAGCAAGGTTTTGTTTTGACGATTTCCATCACTCCACTCCGAATAACGACAAAGAAACATTTCATTCAGCCTCATCAACACTCAACACTCACACCTACTTTCATAACTACGCCCCTTCCCGCCACCCCCACTACAAACCTGCTTTCTTCATCTTCTGTAAAATATTTGCGTGTGAAAATGCCATCAATCATGAGACGATTCTTTTAGATTTTCGCGGCGGTGACGCTAACCTTGCTGATGGTTCGAAACAAAATCCAGTCGGCTGCATGGTCATGTGTGAGGGAGTAATAGGAAAGAGAGCAAGCGAGGAAGTGAGTACGTGGAGTGCGCGCGATAATAAAGCATATGATGATGAAAGAAGGTCAATAAGTAGCGGTATAAGTATGGAGAGCGTGAGAGATGTTGAACAACAGTGAAATAAAATAAAAATGAGACGATGCAAGGAAAAGAAAAGAAGAGGTGACGTAAAAAGTGAAAATAAACAGATGCTTTCAGATAAGATATGCGTATTTATGGCAGAGCTGCTGGTCCGCGTGTGAGTGATGAAATACACATGCCGACATGATTGAGTTGCTGTGGCATGACTGCGCACTCTAGGCCGCCAGGCGGTGAAAATGCAGTCGCTTTGTCACTGCCGCTCATTCTTCTTTAAATTGTTTTAGTGATGGAGATCTGACAGAAAAATCATCATAATCGCTTGCGTATGGGAGCAGTGATCAGTCGGAGCTCCTACCAAATTATGTGACTCGAGTCAACCAAGGCGACATCTTGACTACTACAATGCAAAAAGCATATTTCCACCTCGGACATCCTGTCATTTGCTCAACGTCTGCTGAGCTCACGTGAACCACAGTTGTGCCAGAGCTTTATTGATTTAAGGCACTTTTGTAGAAGGGACTATGTTTTCCAGCCCAGTATGCAAGCAAAATTTCTTTACCATCAGACCTCAAGGAACCCTCTCGAAATATGATCACTTAATTATCCTTTTAACTCTTAATATGAAAGTTCTAGCTCCTAAAAGATCAAAGCTCGACCTCACAGAGTCTTGGAAGGAGCTGATGCTCCAACTCCTTGCTTATCGTACTCAGAGACCTTAAGCTCATGTATGACCAGCTCTGTGATGCCTCCGCGAGGCACTTAAATATTAGTATTCTACTTTTGGACGAGCTTCAAAAGCACACGCCGTGCATGGTCTACTGCGCGTACGAGTATTTAGGCTGGCGAGCCCATAGCTTATTCTACATATAGCTAACTTGAAGATTTTTCTCCTACGCAAATCCCAAAATGCCAATCGAACATTGAGTACTTGAGCATTTAAGAGGCAAAGTGAATGGTGCTCGTACGTTATGAATGAAGAGCAAGACAATCAACTCTTTCTCCAGAGCTAAGCCGATGGGTGAGTTGGACGCACGAGTGAAGTGCTAAATGAAATAGTAATTGAAAAGTTTTTTGAACGCGTGTGTGTGTATGTAAGTATGTTTGAAGGGCATAAATGAGCAGCTAAAGGACATGACAAAAACAAAAACAAAAGCGGAAAGTAGACTTGTGACACTGCTTCTTGAACTTGGTGGCGAAAGGAGCAAACGGAAGCAAGCAATTAGTACGATACGGAATGTAAAGAGGGAGAGGAAGGTAGGAGTAGAGAAAGAGGATGAGGTTTATAGTGAAGAGTCGCTCGACAGAGAATGGTCTTGAAATTAGAATACGCATTCGTGTGCTCTTAAAAGACTACATTGAGTGGCATCAATAGAGCAAACTGGTTGACAAACAAAAGTAGCGCGCGAGGGCGTGGAGTGCGAAGGGGACAAAATTATTTATTTAAAACATTTTACTGCATAGATGCTTGGGAGAAGAGTGTCTCTTGCGCACGGAAATCCCAATGCAAATAAATCCAATGCATAGATATGCCCCATTCGCTAAATACACATACAAATCCACACATCCACACAACCACACATGCACGCATACGTACGCACTTCACCTCCTTGTTTGAAGAACAGATACATTTCTTGCCGAAAACTTTTCAAAAAAAACTTGCACCAACTAAACGTGTTTACAAAAACAAAAAAAGCTTAAGACGAGTGAGTTTGTCGCAAGCACGCATGCATGCTTTTGGGCGCTTTAGCCGGCTGTAAATACTTTCAGCGCCATAAGGGTGTGTGTGTGTACTTCCGATTCTGATACTGATTTTTGCGTTCTCGCTTTATACCCAATTAAAAAATCATAAAAATGTCAATTTATTCGCTAACTTGAAGCTCTCAAACAAATGAGCTTAGAGCTTTTACTTTATCATATCTTTTTAGTTTTTATTTTAAAGAATCCAGAAAAATAAAATCCAGTATTTCTTAAATGATTCTTTACTTACTCAAACAAACACGCTCAATCTCTCAACATATCTGCATGTGTTGCTTGAAATTTTTGATTGATTTTTTATTTATTTTTTTTTTTTTTTGAAAGAAATATTTGTTAAAAAAAAGCTATTAAATTCATTTGAATGCACCTCCTTACTCACCAAATATGAAAAGCACTGAATTTCGTGTTCTAAACCCCTAAACTTTTTTTACTTGGCAGTTTTCTTTTAATTTTGTTGGAAATATTACGCAACTCAATTGATTCTCCCTTCTCTCTCTTTTTCATTCTCAACACTACAGGTCACATGCGTCCCTCGTCGCCGCTGCTCGACTCGGTGCGCGATCAATTCGAGGACTACGATCAGCTGGCAAAGGATTTTACTCGTGTATTTCTAAACGAAGAACCGTCGTGCCTACAAAATGCGCATCTCTTCGATGTTGTCTTCCTGGTGGGGCAGTCGAAGCAGAAGGCGCGTTTCATAGGCGTGCGCGCGATACTGGGTGTGCGCAGTCGTGTGTTTCAGGTGAGTGTGGTGAGAAACAGTGAAGCCAGCAAAAGTGTTTTTTTCACCTTTCTTTCCGTCCATAATAGCTCTCGATCATTCTATCACCAGGTTTATACAAATATTCATATTCACTTAATCTCTTCTCACTACTTATACCAGGAAATGCTTTACGGTATTCAAACGGGCTTTGGCTCACCACAAATACCCGTCGCAGAGATTTTCGCACGCCCCGCTCCCTCGCTGGTCTCACCGCAAAATCAAAAGCCGAAGAGCAACAATTATCTCACCGTACCCGATTCGGATTCGATACGACCGAAGAGTGTGCCCTCATCGCCGATGGTGAAGCGCGCCTTCAGCCGTTTGGGCACCATCACCGCCGGTTGGGGCCGTTCGATACGGAATAAGAATACGAATCAATTGAATCCGGAGGACAAAAAGAAGTGGATATCTTCAACGGATTGTTCCAGTAAGGGTCTCAGTCCACATTATGACCAATATATCGATGTGTGTTTTTTCTTTCTTTTTATTCCTTTCTTCTACTACTCTCTGTGCGTGTGTTGAACCATGAATGCGTACATACATATGTAACTTCCCTGTCTGCCGTGTACATAAAACATAAAATCCACCTTGAACGTTCGTTGATTTGTGTGATGGTGCCTCCAAATACCTTGGAATTCGTATTTTGTGAACTACTTTCGATAACTTTATATGAAAAATATTATATGCATATATATATATATATATATTTGTATCAATGCTGTGTACTACTACTGATCAAATGCTTGTTTAATCGATATCGAAATTCACCACTAATTTTTTTCAATAATTTTTGTCATTTCATTTCTTTTGAATATGCCCTGATTTGTTGAATTCGAATGCACTATTTATTTCTGATATATATTGGCCTGCCTTACTCACCACATTTGCTTTATTTCCCCACAAATACATTTTACTTTTCATCTAAACTCTATTTACCTAATTTCTAATCATATATTTGCTTATATGTATTCTTGCATATTATTTGTAATTCACCACACCTTTTATTCGACACTTTTCATCACTGTATTTGGTATTTGTATGCAAATCTCACAAAATCTTTGCCGTGTAAAATTTTTCCTTAACCCCTTATTGGAGTTTTCGTATATTTATCATTCTCATTGTATATTTTGCTAATTTCATTCACATTTTTTACCATTGAACCGATTTTGGTATGGTCTGAAATCGATTTTCTACTGAAACCGTACAAAACTATTTCACCACACTAATTTGAATTAATTAATTTAATTTTTTTAAATTTGACGGATAATATTCACCACTCAACTCTCAAAAATTTTTGTTCTCACCACGATCCATTAACTTAAAAAAAACTCATATCTGTGAAATGTTTACAAAAATATATTTTTCATTGCTCGTCAAATTTGGCGGAGTAAAATTTCTCGCTACAATACTCAAAAATTTTTACTTTTACAAAATGTATGAAACTTAATAAAAACAAAAACAATAATTTCAAATCACACGAAACTCTTCTCGACTTCTCAAATATATACATTAAATTACTTAACTCCATTCACCATCAAAAATTACTGAAATTTCCAAACGAAAATTAAAACCTACCGGTTTACAAAAATTCACCACACCAAAAAAAAATTTGAAAATTACTGAAACTTTTCACTTTATTTTTCAATAATCTTTGTAACTTTTATTATAATTAATCAAATATGCTTTAAACTTACCACATCGTATATACACCACACTGGATATATAATTTTAAACTTTTAATTTGCTCATATCACACCTAAATCAATGCACTTCATGTACTGTTTTCCTTATTTATCTTCACTGTTCACATATCTTGTCACTTTTTGAAAATTCACCACACGTTTCATGTTGTAATTTGTGCGTAAATCTGTGCTTTCTGCAAAAAAAAATAATAATAATCAAATAATTTAAAAATTAATAAAAAACTAACCAAAAACTCATCACCATAAACCGATTTGCATTCCATTTTCTCCATTATCTCTCTCTCTTTCTCTCTCCCTCTCTCTTCTTCTTAATTGCTCATACAATTTGCCGCTCATTTAACTCTTGGACTATTTATTTTATACCTGTGCTTTTCATTTGTGGTTGCCTTATTGTTTACTCACTCATGTCTCATCACCACCTCACATCTCCAACACACACTGTATTTTTGTATTTTCCTTCTTCGTTTCGTATGTATTTTTCGTTTGGTTTTTCTGCGCGCTTTGTTTCCACATTTCTCTCTACAGATCGAGACAGCAAAGATAAGGACAAAGAGAAGGCCAGCAATAATCAGTTGGCTGTGCCCAGGCTTTCAGTGTGCGCTGACGCTCAGAAGGTAGATCGTGCGAAATTGGCGCAGACTGAGTTCAATATTATCGAGTTCGATCCAGACACGTTTCGGGTGCTCTTGGATTATCTGCACACTGGTACTTGCCCACTAACTTGTGTGTCCATACCAGGTAAGCTCTCTCACCTCTCTCTCCAGCATTATGGTTCAGCTGAGTGCATTTCTCGAAATAACTTCTTTTCTCATCAGGCCTTCTTTGTGCTGCGGAGCACTACGATTTGCCCGAGCTGTTGCAGGCTTGCTTTCATCATTGTAAACAGTTCCTGCGCATCGAGGTTGTCTGCCCGATGCTGATTTCGCTGGAGAACTACTACTGGCGCTACACGTCCGCCTCCGAGTTGGTCAACATGATACTCTCCTTTGTCGAGAACAAAGCGCATGCACTCTTCAAATGTCCCGAATATCTAAATCTCTCCGAATCGATGGTGCAAATGATAATGAATCGTGAACTCCAAACGCCCGAGATACGTAAATTCGAGGCTATGTTGATGTGGGCCAAGAATAAGGTGGCTAAAATGAAGAACCATCCCAACAAGGATACCCAATTCGAGTTCGAGTGTATAATGGAGCGGCTGACGCGCGATCTCAATCTCTGTCGCATATCGCCGAGTGAGCTTTTGGCCGTGGTCTTACCCTCGAAAGCACTGAAAAATGAACGCATCATGGAGACCCTTATGATGCAAGTTAATCTGGGCACCTATCGCATGCAGGAGTTGGACGAGTACCGACAGCAGTTGCGCAGCCAAGAATCAGCCGAGGCGACGGTACAAGTGCATCGGGGTGGATGAGATAGTAAGAATGTTAGTTTCGATTTCGAACGAACCGAAGGTGGTGGCGGCGGTGGCGGCTGCGGCGGCCTGAGAAGACGGCAGAGTGATGATCGCGATGGCGACGGCGATGATGAGGCTGAAGAGGAACATTGCGCACGCGCTATAGCGATATCTGTACGCGGCGTTTCCACTGAAACCTACGACGCTCTGGACAACGAGGTGGAGATGTACGCGAGCTTCGAGGTGGCGCCGAGCACAAGTCGGGTCGCGGCACAAATGCAGAAAGCGCGACGCAAGCGCTGGGCCGCAGATGGCGCTTCGGGCAGTAGTGACGGCGGAGGCAGCGCCAGTGGCCGACGGCACTAAGCGGCGGGTATACAGTGCGAGGAACGACTGGTGTGTGGTTGGTAGAGATAGCAAAGTTGTGGCTTGATAACTTTTCTCAGACTTGGTTGTGGTTTTAATGCATAAATGTTAATTGGCGAAAAACTATGATTTTGTTGCAAGCGTTTCATTCAATATGTTTCGATAATTCCGGAAGTTTTTACAAAAAAATAAGAAGATTTTTATAAGGTCTAACACTAAAATCGGCTTATGACGTGATATTGAAATACGCACAATTTTGAAATTTAGACAAGAAAAAACATTTATGATTTCCAAAACGTTCCACTGCCATTATTTGTATTCCGTGAAGAGTGACTAAATTGCAAATGAAAACGAAAAGCAGCTTTAAATATGTGTAGATTTTTTGCTTCAATTCCTACCCATTCCTTTCCAATTTAAATTCACAACGCACAATTTTATGCTTACGCACAATAAATGTAATGGACATTTATGTTACAGCAAATATCTCATATGTTAAAACTTAGCAAGTCGTATATTCACCGAGATTCCGCTCCGGTTCCATGTCGTTCCACGCTAAATATTTACAAACTTTGAAAATTAATGCATGTAAAAAGCAATACGCACAATTTTCTAATACTTTGTTCCGATTCCAATTTGTTTCGTTTCAATTCCAAATCGTTCCGCATACGAATAAATCTGTTTGTGTCATTTTCTTAAAATCAGTTAATATTTTATAATTGAAGTCGACCCACCATGCATTTCTACCATCCCCACCAGCTTCTAAAGCTCACGTCTAGCCCCGTTTGTTGCGTCAAATCAAAGATCGCACGTTATAAATATTCGTTAACGGCTATACTCGTATCTCCATATTATCTCCATATATGTACGTGTGTGAGTGACGTCTTTACTATGCGCTCAGTATTTATTAACCGCCTAAAAGCATGCTTTAGAAATGCTTAACTCTATATGTGTCGAAATCGAAACTAACATGCCTTCAACTGTCACATTCACCCCATTAAATTATGAAAAAAAAAACAAATAAGACATATTTATATTCAAAAATTAAGGACATGATTTGATGAAATCGTGCCTACACCGAGCGAAAGAAAGTTGTAAGTACAGTTATACTGAAATGAAATGAGAACAAATATGAATCTAAAACGCTTACTGAAAAACAAAGACTAATACAAAAACAAAAAAAAATTCATTTAAACGGTAATGAGGAAATGTTTTGAGTAGAATATAAAAAAATCATTAACTCACGACACCGTAAAAATTTCTAAAAAATTTAAAAAAATATATATATAAAAGAACTTGTATTGTTGAAACTCAACAAAACAATTCTAACTGTTTAATGAGTAAAAAATATAAAAACGCGCATTTTTTGTGTAATTCAATGTGAGAAAAATAAATAATTTAGTCAATATTTAGGCAAAATTTTTATGTGAAATGTAAAAATTTAAAAACTAAAAATTAATTAAAATTTATGTATATAAATACGTTTACATATGTACCTAACTGTATATGTATGTGCTTACATAAATTTAGATAAAAAATTAAAAATTATATTATTAAACGTTACTCACGCCAAACAACTATCATATACCAGATGTATGTATGTCTGTAAATAATTGTATGTATTGTATGTTTTATACATCTGTACATATATACGTGCATAGATGTATTTGTACTTAGTGTATTATATTATATATTAATGTTTGTTTGTACATATGTAAATTTATATAGTTACATACATAAATATTTATACATACAAGCAAACAAAATAAAGGAGAATATAAACTGAAAAAAAAACGGCTTAAGCGAAGTGTGCATTACACAAACTGGAATTAAATTTATGACTTCAAAGAAAACTGTTAAAAGCGCCGATTTCGTTTTTCACTTCTGTTCCATTGCCATATTGTTCCAGTGCCGTGGGGCGTCATTTCTAATACTCCTTAATTTATTAATGTCGTTTTTTTTGTGCTGATTCCCATTCTTTTCGTTAAAAATGTCAATCCGTTCCGATTCCGTTTCGTTTCACTAAATATTTACGCCTATTCATTTCGGTTCGGGTGAAGAATTCGTCTTATTTTTTTATGTAGTTTGTCTTAGTGTTGCGTGCATACATACATATGTATAAATCCAATTATGCAATAGCCAACGATAGAGTAAAGCAAAAATGTATTATAAAACAAACAGAAACAGTTAAAATATATGTGTACTGAAGCCCGAAATTGTGTGCAACTATTAATATATATATACATACGCGTATATATTACATATACCATACATATAAAATAAAATGAAAACATATTTAAAAAATTGAATGTGGAAAAACATCAAAACAAATATAAAATTACCCGATAAAATAAAAAGATTTTAATAAAAACCTGTTCAAGAAAATCATAACAAATAATATTAAATAAAAAATAAATATATTATAACAAATAAAAATTTAAAATTATAAAAATTGTTCAAAGTATATTAAACAAATAATTATACATAACTAAGATTGTATGGCTAAGTTATATAATAAGTGTAAAAAAATAAATTGAAAATTAAAAACCAAAATTTAAAAATAATAAATTTCGAAAACCCAAATTGAAATAAATTCTCGACAAATTTTGATACCAATTAGTACTTAGTGAAAGCAAAAAACGCTCGAAATTAACCACAAACAACCATACACAAGTACATAATTAGTATATATAATATAATAGTACAGTACATAAATATATTTATAGAGAAAAAGTAAAAGTATTAATAATACAAAATATTTATGTATATGTATGTATATATGTATGAAATGAAGCAAACCAACTAAAACAATGTACATATGTACAAACAAACATAGGTATTCAAGCGCCAAATAACTAAGAAGTCCAATGTTTCTAATCAATACATACATACATAAGTGCATATAAATAGGAGAAAAAATTATGATTTTTCCAAAGCGAGTTGAATGGCGACAGCGCATATTTGTTTTAGAAAGAAAATTAAAATTTTATTTTCTTTAATTATATATCATTATTTTATTTTTTAAATTTATTTGGCTTAACTTTTTAAATTTTCTTTTATTTTACTTCATATTTTTTTTATTTAATTTTTTGTGTGTTTTTTATATTTATTGATTGCATTTTGTATTATTTTTTTTTTTTGTTTTCTTATATTATTATTTTTTTTATTTATTTTTTAATTTTAATTTCTTTGATTTATTTAATTATTTTGTTAATTTTCCCTAGAGTTTTTATTTCTCTTTCCCTCACCACTGTCGCTAATCAATTCGCCGATTTTTGTACAAAAAAAAATTCATTTAGTTCAAAACGATTTCTTAATTAACAGTGACCGCAACTCAACTGGAGAATAGCTCATCAAAATATTTGTGCTGTTAAATGGTAATTAATGAACATACATATATAATTATATAATAAATAAAATAGTTAAAATTGTCTAATGAAAATGTTTATATGGGAAAGTTCATAAAGCAAAAATACATACATACATACATGGATGCCGAAGAGTACATAATGTATATACATATATGAAAATAATCACTCACGCAGGCAAACACACACATTTATATACTACATACATAAATACATACTCGGACATATGATGATAATGGAAGAAGAAGAAATAAATGTAACCCACCAATGTATAAAATAAATGCTAAGAAAAAATAAGAAATATAAATAAAGTAAAAAAAATAGCTAAACAGAACAAAAAATAAGAAAATAGTTAAAAAAATATATATATATGTATGTTATTACGGTAAAATCCAGCTAAAACAAGACCAAACAATAAACAGAGAAAGATTAAAGAAATATATTTGTTATAAAAAAATTGAAAAAAGCCAAACACTAACACCCTGTTTTTTGATAAATGTTAGATAACAGTTGTAAAAGTTTCATTTAAAACACCGTTAAAACTGCAAAGTCCAAACACAAGCCAGCTGAAATTGTTTAAAATAGATATGTGTACTAAACAAAATTGGTTCTTTCAAATAATAAACGAAAAATCTGGGCATCAGAAAATCCGTAAAGGAAAGAAACTTAGTTATGCAACAGTTTGTAGATCGGAACTAGTAGAATTGAAACCAAATTAAAAAAATATAGCTTTCTCCAAATGCAAAATACAAAGAAGAAGCAAATAAAAACCGCAAGCTTTCATACATTTATTATTAGCAAACCCACCATTACCAGAACAGATACAAGAAGAACACACACACACACACACACACCAATACGATACGATTGTAACAAAACTAAACCATACAAATACATGAAATGTTGAAAATAAAGTACGCTGAATATGGAAAAAATTGTAAAAAAAAAGAATTAATGCGTTTTCTTGTGGGTTTTGGCGAAAAAAGTGTTCCGATTCCATTTCATTCCTATTCACTTTTCATATCGTTTCATATGTATATCGTTTTTTAGGTAAATCTACAACTTTGTTTCAATTCGGTTACGTTCTACTCTCACGTTCCGTTTCAATATCGTTCCACGTTTAAATTTATTTTGACTCATGTGTTTTTCAATTTCATCTTGACCTATTTGTGCGAGGCCACCGGAAGCTAGTGAAGAGTCCAGTTAGATTTTAGAATCAAGAGTAGCTCATTATTTATAGCATTTCCCCCTTTGAGTCTTGAGGTCATATAATTCACAAGCATTCACATATATAATTAAGGGATACAGATTCTGGCTCTTCGGAACTCTACAAAAGCAAAATGCACTAAGGTCTTTTGAACGCATGGCGCCTTCCACCGTCCTATATCTATTTATTGGAATAAACCGTCTTTACTTTGAGTCCTTATTCCCTGAAAGCACCCTTCACGGCATGTGGCGTAAGTAGTCTTCTGTAGAGGTGGCTTAAAAATTCAAGTGAAGCTCTACGTTTGCTCGGATTGATGTTGTTTAGACTTTCTTTGCGCTTCCAGAATATCCTCTCCCTGCGTTGACACGGAACCGCACACCTACACATGCGAAGGATTCGCACCCAGCTCTCGCAAAGAAAAACACTACTTTCCCACCCGAAAGAGCTCATCAAGCCGTCCACGCAACTTTACTCAATTATATTTTCATTAACAAAAAAGTCATTTGAATATTAAAATTATTTTATATAAATTCAATTGCGAGCAAAAAATTTTGAGCAAATTTCCTTTTATAAAAAAATTCAGTATAAATTTTGATTTCTTTTACGCAAACCTGAAATCTCAAAATTAAACGTCCGTTAAAATTCAGATTTCAAACCCCAACTGCAGCAGCAGCAGAGAATAATCGTCTCATAAGCTGCGCAACCCCTCGCAAGCCGAAATTCTATACCAAGTTCCTATTCAATACCAAGCTCGCTTGAAATTTTTAAAACTTTCCATAAACAATTTGTGGATCGGTCCAAGCATGGAGAGAGCGATGGCCGCCCAGCACGTGTGCATCAACTCGAAGTCGCCGAGCTCGTACAATGTCGTCTGTAACAAGTGTTGCTCGTCGCCGAAGTTCGAACATTTCGATAAGTTCCTGGCACACAGTTATGCCGAACATGGGCCTACTGTGCGTCGGGTGAGTGGGTGGTTGTTGGGTTTTCTCCGTTTTGTGGTTAGCTCCTATTTTATGTGTCTCTTTCTTTCGTAAACAGAGCGCGCTCTCCATCATACCGGAGGATAATCTGATCTCGGCACGCGGCAGTGTAAGTAAATCTCCGAAAATTCTTCTTCAAGCAATCTACAGTACCGTGAAATTCAATTTCTTTTAGGTCTCTCACCTGAGCGCGCACAGTTGCCTAAGCGCCACTGGCGACTCCTCCTCGCTCTCCAACAAAACCTCCACTACCGATTTCAATCTAAGTTCACTGAAGCGGCCTTGTCTGCTAGACATCATAGAATTGTTGAACAAATGTTTCTGCATTTGGCATCGTCCAACGCGCGAGTCGATGCCGCGTAGTGAGCGTCTGTACGCCTATCAGCTGATACTATTCAAGTTGCGGGAGCACTTGCCCTTTGCGACGTTTCGTGACTCGCGCAGCATTGTGCGTCAGTTGATACAAAACTATCTGCGTAACCAGAGGTTGGGGGAAGTGGATGATTTGTCGGTATGTAGTCAAAAGCAAGACGATAATGAGAATTGGCGTTTGGCATGCCAATCGCCTGCGTTGAAGTCGAAGATCGTGTTGGACAAACTCAGTTTCTTGAAGGGCAGCAATGAAAGGGACGTGGAGGAGGTGAGTATATAAAATGTGTTTGCATTAACTTGCTTGGCTCTAACTTCCGCACATACTGCAGCTCGTGCCGGACAAACTTTGCGTTTTCTGTAACATCGGCTTTCAAAATACGGAAACGCTTTGGACTCACATGGTGAGCGCTCATCTGCCAGCACGTAAGCTTCAACAAGCAAGCAACGTTACGCTCAACACTTTGGCCACCGAGTCTACAATGGACACCGCATATTCCTCTGGTAGACGCAGTCGCGCCTCACGTTCAACGTTCGATACCGAAATGGACGCAACGCAAGAATCATGTACTCTCTCGGAGCCTACTAACCTGAGACGCAGTCGGCGACGTCGACGTGGTATTTGGCAGAACAGACAGCGTGTCCGCACGAAAAATAAATTGTTAACGTTGAAGAGAGTAAGACACTAAGTTTCTTAGACCGATGCTGTCACCTTTCTCTCTATTTGTCTTCAAATTAGCTGCAACAGCGTCGACAGTCCATGAGGCAAGTGAAAAGTGAGGGCGACAGTACCAGTGTAACATTCAAGGTGAGTATACTCGCCTTCAGAGATTTATCTAGAAAGCTTTCCACAATGATTAGACGCTGTGAAACACAGCCCAGGGCCCATGAGCTCCTTTTGTCAGTGGGAAGTCTTGCTAATCCGCTGATCTGTGTTCTTCTAGCAGCCGTCTACTTCTTGCCTCTCGGAGTACAGTGATCAGTTTCTCGAAGAATTCATCGACCTTTATCACCAGCATCCGTGTCTTTGGAATGTGAACATCCCTGAATATCGTAGTCGCAAGTTGAGGCAAGCCGCCTACGAAGTGCTACAGAGAACATACTGTCAATTACGCGAGGTGCCAACCGTCACCCTCAGAAAGGTAAAATCATTGATACGTCGTCTGCGTACTTATTATAGCCGCCTGGAGCAACCCAATGCCAATCCTGCGCGCAGTCAAATTTGGCAACGTTTAGCATTTATCGATGACCGTGAGCGACAACCTAAAAAACGGCGACGCAGCCGCAGCGTCAATACTTATGAACCACTTGACTATGACTGCGCCGTCTGCGCTCGTAAATTCAAGCAAGAAAAGTCCCTCGCCAAACACAAGCTTATGACACACCCACCCACCGAATGCCCATCTTGCCGTGTGACTTTCAAGAGTGCCGATGAGCTCGTGCAACATTTACTCTATATGCACGACAAAGAAGCCGATTGTCCGCTCTGCAAGGAGGCCCAAAGTGAGTGGCGGTCTGCCGCTCATCTCGGCGTACACTTCTACGAGCATCGTTGCCCCACCTGCACTGAGGTCTTTCGCGACGCCGGCAATTATCGACGCCACCGCGCCAGATGTCGCAATATAAATCGGTTCCGTTGTAATCACTGCAGTTTCAAGTTTACTAACACTCTGGACTTTCGACGCCATACCAAGGTGTCGCATCAGGACGAACGTCCATTCAAGTGTGATGATTGCAAAATCAGCTTTAAGTATTTGGCGCCCTTGACCAAACATCAAAGGCTCCACAAACGCATGCGTTACTTTTAGGCGATCCCAACAACCGATTATGCGAGTTGAGTACCGCAGGAACCGATGATTCCGCAGTGTAGTTGTTGTGTGAAATAGTTCTAAATGGAAAATTTTAAGTTGAATTAAAATTGCCCTTGTCTAAGGAATTTGTTTGTTGTTTCTGGTTTCTTCGGGAGTGGCATGATCTTTCCTCTGCAGCTAAGAGACTGAACTCCTTCTAGTTTAACGTTTGTTGTTTTTTTATTGCAGACGTGACGTTCTTTCCAAAGGAAGGGGCCTAAATTGAGATACGTTTACTGTGCTTCCGGGAAGACGAAACTAAGCGGGGCTTACCATTATATACATTTATTAACAATCCCCAACCCGTATAATATATATTTCAACAAATTTTAAAAAAACAAATTCAACAAAATAAAGCTCGCTACTTTCTAGACCTGCTTCCCTTTGTCATCACGGGCGTCATCCATACCATCGCCTTTTGCCACACCAACTTCTTCATCTTTGTTTCCATGGTCTTCGTCATAGTGGTCTTCTTCATCGTAGTCTCCTTTAAAGTGATCTCCATCATCGTGGTTTTCATGAAGGTAATCTTCATCAAGGTAGTCTTCTCCATCGTGGTCTTTATCAAGGCGGTCTTCTTCATCGTGGTCATCGTGATCATCGTGGTTATCTCCATATAATGCGTCCCAATCTGTCAATTCTTCTTCAAGATCGGCTTCTTCCTGAGCCTTGTCAGCTTCCGCTTCGCTCATATCTGCCTCAACTTCTTCATGCGCATCTAAAATTTGCATCGCTTCTAGTTCTAGTTGCTTCAGTTCAACCTTCCTGGCCTCCGCCTCTTCCTCACTGCTAGAGATTTCATCAGACTCGTCCGAATCATCGCCATCTTCATAGCTTTCCCTAATATCAATCAACTCGATGGAGTCATCAAGTTTATTCGTCTTGTTTTTACCTTCATCATCCTTCACCTCTACCGCTGGCGTCTCATCACGCATGCGCACAACAGTACTTTCGTCTTTATTTGGTGAGCAAGGGCCGTTGTGCAGGAAACGAACTCTTGGTACTTCTAGAGATGGAAAGGGAAAATCAGAAATGAAAAAATTATGTATTAAAAGATTTGGTTTGGGTTAAGTTTGGGATATTGCTCGGGGCGATGTACATGTCCGATCAGCAGATGTTAGTGGTGGCTTTAAGCGAATTTTGCATAACAAATTATGGATACAAAAACAACAAGAGTATTTAAATCAAGACACAAATTTCAGAAACCCGTGGAACACCTTTTGATCCATCCTATTCTAAGAGAACTTGGGAACTGAGCTCGCGTATATAATTCAGGTATCTCTCTCTTTCTCTCCCGAAATCATACAACCCTCACCCATACTTACTCGATCCCAACGATCTGCGTAGCGACAACGAGCATTTAATCTTATTGTTGAGATCGCAACGGGAAGGTGCAGTCACCATCTTGCCGTCGACCAAGCCACAGACTGGCATATAGATGCGTGGGCACATGCGTTCCTTGCACAGCGGTTTCGGTGTGGTGGAGACAACCAAAGTCACTGGCTCCTCTTCCAACGGCGTAGTGTTGTTGGCTGAAATCAGCGCCGGAAAGCTGACAACAGCAAGAACGAATAAACAACAGTATGAACGCATTTCTCTAAACCGTTATTGCTACGAAATTAAATAAAAACTTAACAAAAATTACTGTAAATTGCACCGTTACTTCTCCGCGAGACACTCACAAGTTTGTGACATAACTTTGCTCGCTCACCGCGGCTTTTAAGTAAAGCACATGAAGGTTAAAGCGCGTAACGGAAAGTGTGCCACCAGCTGTACAAATAACGGTAAGTACGAAACTGTGGGAGCAACCGCATTTTTCGGCTAGCGATGGAAAGTACTGTTCACCACCTTCACATCGTTTGCTTAGTTTAGAAACGGTGAAATCAAATAAATCTAAGGTTACGATTTTGTTTTGCGAAAAAAATTTGGAACAACATATGTCGCGTGGTAGACGTACGACCTTGAAAAGTTCAAGTTGCAAAGTGAGAATAATCTAACGTCTTTTGGGCAAACAGTGTAATTGGTAAAGAGTTTTGGCTGATAGCTGCGACGAGCCCGCAGTAAGTGTGAGCTCAAGTAGTAGGTATGTATGTTTCTCAGAGCATTGAAGGTAGAAGAGCAATGTGGGAGAAAGTTATGAAGTCGATGGCGATTAAGTGCGGCCTTGATGGGATTTGAATGGATCTGGCTTGGAGGAAGGAAAGTAATTAAGTTATTAATAAGCTTGGATACTACAATCTACGATGACTTTCTAATCGATCCTACAGCGCGGAATGCCGCCTAAGTGTCACTGGTCCCACTGATATTTTTCTTAGCCGAGGCATGGTCAGCAAAGGCATTTTTATATCGCTTTGTAACCTCTGGGGCGATTTTCGTTCAAGCTCTTCGTTCAATTTGTGAAGAATACACACTCGCTTAAAGAGCTCACCAAAATCTTATTGCATCGTTTGTGGCTGCGAAAGTCGGTCTTGAAACAATCGCCACTCTATACAAAAATATTGCGAGGTTGTGTGCTTGATTTAGGGTCCGCCACATAAAAAACCAGCATCAGTGTAAATAAAAAGCACTCAAAAACACTCCGCTGAGAGCCTTCAATCTAATCGAAAGATCAAAGACGCCGGAACGGCAAAGCTATAATCACAAAAGCGGTGTCTACGTTGAATTTTGGAAAATAAAACTGAAATATTCGGAATGAATGGTTATCTGTCTAGTTCATTAGACTGCTAATAAGACACTCTCCTAGCTGTAAGTATTCCCTTGGAAGAAATATGACCATTCTAGAACATGCAGGTGCATTAGATAAATTTTTTGATTATTCTCCGTCTGATGTCTATCCGTCAAAAAATTATTCTGACCATATGCTTCATATACTCACAACAACAACAATGGTAACGTGGTGAGGAGCGCTATTTAATATCAAAATTCTTTACGCTCACTCACACTTTTCAACGGCAGTAAAGAAATGCCAGTCTACAGTGACTTTCAAACTGTTAGTTTCAAAAGGAATTATGCAGAAAGAGGAGCTTAACGTAGGCAAATTAAATTAAACTAAACTAAAATAAATTAAACTAAACAAAATAATATTAAACAAAATTAAATTAAACAAAATCAAATTAAACTAAAATATAATTTCAAAACTGGTGAAGGTGTAGTGCAAGTTTACTGCCCAAGTGTGAAGTATTAAGTGCAAGGGAGTTAATGATTTTAATGATTTTGTTTATAAAATGTATATAACCGTTATGTGTGTAAACGAACAAATATAAATAAAATACTTTTGCGCTGCTGTGCAATCAGAAAATGTATTTTCTAAACTTTTATTGGAAAATTTTTTATTCGAATTTTTATTATTGGAAAATTGTTTATTTGTGAATATTCTATTAATTAACACATTCCGTCAACCACTTTCACTTGGGCCCTTACAAAGCAGGTCTGCTCGCTGCTAATTTGCGAAGATTTGGTCAGGTCCTGAGACCACGTCTTGTCGTACGCCTCCTTCTTCTTCTGTCACGCGAACGACAAGTGCCCCTAAATAGCAAATGTATATTGAGTATGCCTGGAATGTGCGGAAGAGAGCATAGAGAAATGGGTTATGGTGTATTTGTATGCCTTTTGAGAACTTCACTCTAACCTTGTTCACGTCTTCGGCGCGCACAACGTCTAGCCGCGTGCATTAAGCAAATATTCGCATAAGTGCGGCGTCCGCCATTATAACTTGCACAGACCGGTCTATAAACACGTGGACAACGTGTTAAGCAACTCAGCGTGGAAGCAATGGTAGATGTACTCGTTATTGAGGTAGTTGTCGTGGCTGTGGTTGTGGTCGAGTTGGTTGTTTGTTGTAAGGAAGGCACTGCAACGGCTAAAAGCGCCAGGAGTAGTAGTAGGCGCATCTTCGTTCTTAAAACACTATTCTTTTGTAAAAGTTTAGACGAAAACGTAGAAGCGTGGGTGTACGTTAGCACAGTAAAACTAAACTAGGACCGGAAAGAAGCGGTATACTTATGCTCTTGCAATGTTTACTCGCCTTTGTGAAAGAAAGTCTGGGTCGGCGCCAATTGGTTACCTTCTGATTGCACAGCTGCGCAAAGCTGCATATTTGGATACCAAGCGGTATGTTTGTAGTTAATTGGCATAATCAACATCCAGCTGTGGGAATCTCATATTTTTGGGTGCTGAGTAAACAAGGAAAAGTATTTTATTTATATTTGTTTATAAAATAGTAATTTTCCTATACAATAAGTACTCTTTGCTGCCCATATATACATACATACATATGTACTTATATTTTAGACTTTTTTTTTAGAATTATCGTTTATATACATAGCGGTTATATACATTTTATAAACAAAATCATTAATTTCCTTGCACTTAACACCTTACACTGCGTAGTAAACTAGGAAAAACCTCTTACTCTTAGAGCGCATCCATATAACCCATTTTGCTTGCATGCCTCAGCACCTCCAGCAGTTTCATATTAACAGCGTCACCACCAATCTCTATATTTGACTTGCGGAACTCTTCACTGCGCAAATTTGTTTCGAAAAGATGGGAGATTTTAGCGCATTCCTCCTCGCTCGAAAGCATCCAGGGCAAAAAGTGCAGACAAATCATAACACCATAGAAGGCATAGCGCGAAAAGTGTGCGTAGAATTCATCGAAACTGCAAATATTTGAGTAAAGAGAAACTTAATAACGGGAAGAGACGAAAAATTAGAAGCAACAATTTACCTATAGGCCGCCAATTGTTCGGCATCAACGTTCGGCTGACCTTTAACTGCCGCTTGCAGTGTTTCAAACATAGTTTTGTGGTATGTTTGTAACATTTCCATCCATATTGCTTCTCGCGTCTCCGCTGTGGTGTTCATGTACATGAAGAAGCTGATATCTATACAAGGACTGCCATAGCGTATTTCCTGCGTACATGTGTATGTTTGTATATGTGCATTATATTAAATTGTTTTATGTTCAATTAATTTTTAAATGATCTTAAATGTATAAGTTTACATGCCTACACTCACCTGAAAATCGATCATTTTCACATCGGCCACCTTACGCTCAGCCTCATCGCCACCCTCTTGCTCTTCATAGCGGAAGAGCACATTATTGCGATTGTAATCGCCATGCAAAATCGCTCCAAATCGCTTATCCTCTTCGCAATCCAATACACTTGTGCGTATTTTCTCTAGCAAGCGTGTCGGTTCTTTCATATATTTCGCACGTAAGTCACATAAACGCTCAATCAATTTCAAATCATCCGCACTTTGCTTATCGAACGTATCACCATCAATTTTTCGATCGATGAAATCAAAGAGCCGATCGAAAGCTGCACGATAAAGGAAACGATAAGCGTTTTCTTCATCATCTTTTGGATCAGCGTCATTGATGAAAGGCAGTGTAATTAAGTCGTTTTTCAACCGCTCCAACTCTGCAGGCGCTGTTAGACGTAAAGCATAACTTATCGCATGATATTGTCCAATTATGCGGCACATCGGTAACAGGTGTTCTCGTGTTAGGTATAGTCGTGGACCGAGCACATATCCTCGTGGTTTCAGATGCTCCAATACTAGCACGCATTCACGTATGCCTGGTGCAGCGCTTAAACCGTCGATATAACCAAATTTGGCGATAAAAGGATGTGGCACCCAGTCGTCAATGGTTAAATCGAGCTTCGCAGCGGTCAAGACTTTCGCAAATGCCGGCAAAATACAATCATAAACACAAGTTTCATTGGCAAATTGTATGTATGATTTACTGGACTCGCGGAAAGCGACATCTCCTTTCATGAATTTCGCCACTAGCAAACGCTGTTTGGGGCTGTGTGGTAGAAAACAAAAATACTTGCATTAAATAAAAGTCAACATGAGTGGGCTTGCTGACGCTTCTCACCCAATGGCAGTTTCAGTGTACAGTTTGATATTGTAAAGCGCTGACATAAAACCGTCGAGACCGCCTGCATGCTCCGATTCATAGTTTATCAGTTTTTCACCATCTAATTTTGTCATAATTTCCGTTATTAAATATTCCTTAATATAATTGAAATGTACATTTCCGGTTGTATCAGCCATTATGGTGGAAAGTAAGCAGAGTTAAAATTTGATTTGCAGTTTGAAAGGCACTGTTGCCTGAAATGCAGTATGAATTTGTGCGGCTGAGATAATGATCTGAAAGAATAGAAACTGAAGTAATACAAAACAAAATAAAATACAATGTATGTTTGTTGAAATTATTTAAGCAGCTTCCATTTAATTAATATAATATAAGAGGTGATTCGAATTAACTCACTTTGTTACTACAATGCAAACCACTCACCAAGCGCAACCGCTCTCTAGCTCAACTCGATGAAAAGTGATTTAATCATTTATGGAATTCATTCACATAAGCTAGTAATGCTCATGATGTGAATATATACATTGTGTTAGAGTAATTTTCCTAATCACAATAAGACTTTAAGTGCCATATAAGTAAGTTATCAACGTGGACGAATCACTATGCTTTTCTAGATAAACTAACTAAAGTATATTTGCATATACAAATACATGTGTGTCCATAAATATATTTATATACATATGTATATATATATATTTTTTTTTTTGTCCACAGCTTATAGATAGACCGTTGGCCTATTTTACTCTCTTATTATTATTACATTACATCACTCAGCTCTCAGTCCCCCAGGACAAGGATAGCTTGGGCGATCTGCTGCTTATTCTTATACATAAATATATAATTAACAGAGCTTATTGTTCATGCATCTTAAATCCATGTTGAGTGCATACAATTCCTGCTGGGTATGTACATAAAAAAAATATATTGTGGCTAATCAGTAATAAATTTCGTTGGTTAGACCGCTTCGACGCAAGAGGAAGATCTGAGCTCTTTCGATTGTATCTGCATACCCAGAAGCCACACTACACCCTATTAAATCCCATGAGCTAGTTTCACGGGAAAATCAAATCAGACTCATTTTCTCTTTACCGCCGGAAGTAGCGGCAACGCTATGCACCGATTACTCTCTGCTGGATCGGTACGTTCTCGGCTGTTTGAGCTATATCGGATAGAAAGTGCACACCTCGGCTTTTTTGCCAACAAATTGTTCTTTATGATTGTACCTATAAGCGAGAAATATTTTTTTCGTAATAAAAGTGCATTCGAGCTTTTGTTTACGTCATCAATGTTATTCGCCAGATCCAGCTTTTGTGTGTAGAATTACTCGTCGGGCATGCAGACGCACGTATTATAATAGAGTTCATTATTAGCTGCACTTATTCTCACATTTCTTTGGTTGATTTACCAAATTACATGCTTACGTTAAAAAAATTGTTGAATGCAATTCAAAGAGAATTTTGCCAATTGATGTATTGTTTATTTACATTTTTGTACGTATGTTTCTATTAATTCCGCCGGCACGCACACCCACACACCTTACCATATATATTATTTCCGACGAAATGCATCACAAAGAACTAGCAATGAAACAAATAGTAACAAATTTTTTACTACTATTTTTTAAGCTGTTAATTACATAGAATAATTCAAAGAATAATCTTTAGATCTTATGGAAAAACATCACATTTGTATTTTCCAATTGAATGGAACCGTTGGTTTCACTGTCATTTATGCGGCAAGTGACTAGAAAACTGTTTAAACTGAGCAATCCAAATTAAATTATTTACACCGCAACCCTGCAAGTATTTTCTATACCATGCTTCATCTCACATTTCGCGCCTATTTCACATATTTACCTTATAGCATTCGCATCGCTCACTGAACGCACTGAATGGAATTGTGGGACGGACAACAGAAAACAGCTGACTTTATCACTCATCATCCATTGTATATGAAAGTACATAGACGCGTATAAGTACATTTTTTTCTCATTGCATTCCGTGCATATTGTTGTTGTGAAAAAAGAAGAAAAAGTTATTTGTTTAAAAAATATTAAACAAAGCGCACCGATTTCTGTGTGCCTCAAACGGAAAAATTAATTTACGCATAAGCGTTAAGCGTTATGGATCAGGTGGCTCATGTAGAAGCATGCCGCCTGTGTGCAAATTTCTATGTGGCCGGTGGCGAAGTTGAATTTGTGCATATCTTTGAGCCACTGGATGGGCTGGAGGAGCAAATGGAGTTTTTGCGCACACAAACGGTAGTGTGGCAGTTGCAGGTGAGTTTGGTGAAATGCAATTGAAATAAATTACAAAATATTTCACAATTTGACGTAATCTTTGACTCACTCTTTGTGGCGTAGATTGTATCTAATGATGGTCTCCCGCAACGTATTTGTGCCAATTGTTTTGCACAATTTTGCAATATATACACATTCCGCCAGCAATGCGTGTTGGCACAACAAAAATTGTTGCAATCATTTGTGGGCGTTGGTCTGGACAGTGAAAATGTGGCGACTGCACCCGAACTCAAACAAACTATAGTGCTTTCACAACAAGCGAGCGGTGGCGTTAGCGGCGGGCACGCTGATTTGTCAAACGACAACGAGCTGTTGAATAGCTTAAAAATCGATGCGCCAGTTACAAGTGCGGAGCTAATGGCCAGCTTGGACTGTTTACAACCTCCGGCCACCACCAGCGCTGATGTCATTGCCAGTTTGGATGGATTGCAATTGCCTGCTAGCGTGGCTGAGACTCTCTCGATGCTCACCCAAGAACTGACTACAATTCAAAATGGTTCCGTGCTAGATAACAGTACCAGTTCGATAACCACGCATGCTATTATGGACACGAAAACAGAACAAACGAATGTCTTGCAGCTTGGGGCAGCTTCTTCGACACAAAATAATTATTTTTCACAGCAATCACCAATTACAACAGTATCAGCTGGCACCAATACGCCCGTCACGTTAGTTAAGAATTCGGGAAAAACAATAACTGCTGTTATTCCGCCGAAACGTAGCAAAGCGGCTGACATTGACTTGGAGGATATGCTGCAAGGTAGCATAATACACAAGAATTCCCAAGGGCATGTAGCTGAGAATACGTCGACCAAAGAAAAGACAGTCAGAGCTGCCAAACGCCGTGTCTCTACATACGCAGATACGTTGGAAGATGGTGAGTAAATTGAATGATTTCGAAAAAAGCTTTAATTCATATTTTGTTGGAAAATATCTCAACCAACAGATGTGAGCTTATTTTCATGCTCCGACCAAGATGAATCCAACGAAATAGATGATGTAGAAAACGATGCGGACCCAGCTTCGCAAACGCGCATCTCACGTAATCCCTTCGCATGTCAGTACTGCTACTGTCCAAATTCCGGTTCCATTGACCACTTGGTGTTTGACAGTTCTGATTCGCTCTCACAGCATTTCTTTGACATACACGACCCCAATTTACCCTACACTTGTCCATACTGCCCGCAAAAGTATAGCTCAGTCAGGCAACGTGACTATCATGTGCGTCTGATACATCCCACCGCATCGAAGGCCGAGCAATGTGACTATTGCAAGAAGACGCTACGCTCGCCAAAAGAGCTGCATGAGTTCAGTTGCCAATTTCTAGGGGATTGGCGTTGTGAGACGTGTGAGCAGCGCTTCTTCCAAGTGCCATTAAGTCGTTTTCGCACGCATCAGCGTAATCACACCACGAGCAAATTTAAATGCCGTGAATGTGATCGCGAATTCGTGCGGCGCGCTAATTTGGAAGCGCATGAGCGTATGCATCGGCCACGTGCGAACTATCGGAAACAATGCGATCAATGCCAGGAAGGTGAGTGTGACTCATACATATGTATCTAATACGGTATTCAAGGCACTAAAGTAGTTAAGCAAGAATTGTAAAATGTTGTATCTCTTTGGTTGCTGTTTTCGAAAATTTGAATTTTCATATACAACTTTTTTTACTAAGAAAAATTACTTGTTAGCATAAATTAAGACAATATGGTGAACTAAAAGCATTTATAATTAACTTCAAAAATTCTAAATTAACTTCGAAAATGCAATGTTATTTTCCAAAAATTTAAATTGATTTTAATCTTGTGAAATCAATTTCGGTAGCTGAAAAATGAATATGTTAAACCTTACGCAAAAATATTCTCACATTCTATTTCCCCCCAGTATTCATGAGCGACTACGAGCTCCGACGTCACAAATATCAGGCGCATAACGGTGAATTGCCTGTTCGTTGCGAATATTGCCACAAAGGATTCGTTAGCCTGGCCTTCCTCAGTCGACACTCTCAACACTTTCATCCCGACAAGGTGGGCCACACCATCTTCGCTGGAGCCACCTGCAATAACTGCGGTTGCGCCTTCAGTTCGCAAAACAAATTGCGTATACATTTACAACGACCGCGAGACGAGAATGGTCGTTGTCTGGAAACGATACACGAAGTGATTCCTCCAACAGACAGAGCACGTCAGCTGCGACGGCAACGTCTTCATTCCTGCTCGCACTGCAATAAACGTTTCTCAACGCGGGCCACGCTCGAAAAGCACATGAGCACGCATAACATGTCCAGCTTTGCGTGCACTGAATGCGCAACTGTATTCCAAAATGGCAACGAGTTGAAGCGACACATCATGCTGGTACACATTAAGCCGCGTTTCCTGAAATGTGACCAGTGCGACAAGCGTTTCTGTTATATGCGCGAATTGCAGCAGCATCAGAAAGACCACGCCGAGGAGGGAGAAGGTGGGCATATATATTTGTATGTATTCGATATTTATGCTTCTAAATTTCACTTTTCCATTACAGTGCAAGACAAGACTTTGCTTTGCCCCATAGCTAAATGCCGTTTTGTCGCTTCGTGCAAACAAGAAGCCACCGATCATGCGTTGAACAAGCACAAACTTGTTTCCTGCGAGTATTGTAATAGTTCCTTTTCACGCAATCGACTCTGGGGTACGTCAGATGGTTTATTTTTTGAAATTCTCTTTAATTCCTCCCCTCTTGTCTCTTACAGCTCATATGCGCAGCATGCATGCCGTTGAAATTGGGGCCGGTGAACCAAATAATAATAATAATAGCGACAAAAACAACGCTACATTGTCATCTGACAGCCAGGAAACTGAAACGGAGGAGTCTTTAGCTGTGGCCAGCATTCTCAACGACGACACCGTTCAGTTGAATAATAATGACATTATGGTCTCATTCGAAGAGGGCGCCGCTAACGGTGGTGAGAAGGTGCGCGTTGAATTGGTCAATCAACAGCCGACGAATATTAGCGGTTTGGTGCTGCAGGAGCAGACGACGGACAACACCTACAAAGAACTCATTCCAACGTCTGATGAAATAGACGAGAATTTCCTAATGAATAATTTGCTAGATCCAGATCATGAAATCATAGTTACATGATCGTCTTTAGACGACATTTATATACGCATATAGTTCAGTGTTTAACTTACGTCACTATTTTTTAACCAAGTATAATTTATACAAAAAACAAATGCTCCTTAAGTATTCCGACATTCAAAAAAGATAACAGAAAAATGTGACCTTAAATTGAAAAATCTCATAGAAATACGATAGTATTGGTTTGTTTGTACATTTATTTGACTAAAATGAGTACAATCTAAAATTATTTTTTTATTAAATTAAAATTTAAATATTTTAATTTTCAAAAAAATTTATATGCTGAATATTGTGTATTGCCATGCTAAAGCAACGAATGAAAAAAACAGATTGAATTATGAAATATATATTTTAGTTAAGTAAATTGCTTATGATTAGTTATAGAAGCTTTGGAAAAGAACAATTTTTTAAGAAATAAAAGGCTCTGACCGAATCGTATTCCTTATTAAAAATTAATATTATTATTATTTTTATTATTATTGTTATTATTATTATTATTATTTTTATTATAATTATTATTTTAGTTATTATTATTATTATTATTAAGCCAGTAAAGTAGCTGATTCATTAAACAACGCAAATTTTGACAGTTTTGCGCTAATCATTCATAGCCAGTTCTAAACCTCTAATTTAAGAAATTTCCTCTATATAATAAATATAAATAAAAATAAAAAATTTATACATTGTAAAAATATGGAATATACACCTGCCTATTGCACGAAAACTATACATTTATTGTGAAATTTATTTAACTGATAAATGTGCTAAAAAGCATTTTCGAAAAAGAAAAAATGGCTATATGGAAAAAAAATAGTTCTTAGTTCATGAGGCATATTGCAAAAGCATTAAATGTAGAAGTTCGATATTTCGAATATATGTATTTTTGTAGCGCATCTTTGTAAAAATAAGCGAAAATTGAATTTGTAGGTTAAACTAGGACCTTTTTATCACGTAAAATCGTGTCTTCAAGTATATAAAAAAAAAAATATTTAAAAATTTCCAATAAGGTCATCATAAAACTTCCAAACTAACTTTTGCGCAATCGAAATTAACTTCGAAAACTCGAACATCAATTTTTTTGCATGTTTTTAGTTTTAAATTTTTTAAAGCAGTAATTGAAAAAGATTTTAAAAATTTAGAATAATGAAATTTATGCATTCGAACATGACTTCGAAAATTCGAAATTCAATTTTGTATACCATTTTTTTGTTTTAAAGTAGCTGCTAACATGTGTTGATCGTTTCGTTTACATTCTATGTTAATTTCGATATATAAATAAATACCCTCAAATTTTTTTTTTATAACTCACATCATCGCTTCTTCTTCATCTTCCAACATGCCAAAATATTTTTTAAGTCCTCTATTTCTTAGACGTATTTTCCTATATCGTATTAAAGCTTATAAAATTAGTAAAGTAGCGAAAATGTAGGCATTAAAATGTCATGAAAATAAAGGAAAGCCATAATTATGTAAAAAAAATGCATAAAAAATTCTGCAGTAATTTATGAAAGTAGAAAAGTATATATTATATGTAAAAAATTCATGTATAATACATCTCCCATAGTAATAAATACTAAAATCCATAATTCATATACTATATATATTTGTATGTATGTATGCATGTATTAGAAATAAAGCTAATGAAAAATTCTACTAATATTCGTACTGATCGTAAATTTACAAACTGTAATAAAATATTTTATACAAATAAACAAATATAAAACCGCAGAAAATATGTAAATAAACATTTTATTCGTATCTATCTATACACATATGTATATGTATGTAAATGTGTGTTCACTTTATATCGAGTTTGAGCAGTAGAAAAATGAAGAGTAATGATCCACCATCATTTACTGTTAATAAAAAGGGGCGTTTGTGCACTTTCAACATATGTATGTATATATGTATAGATATGTTTGTTTGTACGCGTAGTGACAATTATGTGAAATTAGTGTGGTATGACAATTATTTAAAAATAAAAAAATCTCAGAAATTGTTTCGAACTGGCAAAGAAATATCAAATTTTGAATTAACATTCTTTCGAAAATTTTACCGTAAAGAAAACGCGGAAAAATTTTAAAAATCGGAAGTGGCATATTCGAAAATTCAAAGTAGAGTTGAAAAATTAAATTTAGAATAGATACAATTAAAACTTTCAAAAAAAAAACAATCAAGGCAGTATATTGTTTATTGGACTTGCTTAAATTTCATTAAAATAATTAAATATTTATATCGATGACTTCTTTATGTAAGATTATTAAGTAAGTAAGAGGTTTATTGCTTCTTTTTTACATTTTATTTTATTTCTTGCTCTCCCAACCAAATTGTACCGCCCTAACGCACATAAAATGCAAGCAAACAAGCACACATATGTACATTCGTATAAGTGTGTAGAAATATTTTGTGTTTTAAGTGCATACATAAATAATTGTGAAAAACTACACTCAACAAAAACAACAAGTGTAATTCTTCGACGATGTTTCGGCATTTCTCACTCTTAATCAACACTTTCAAGCGGATCTACAATTTAATTTGAACTATAAAAAAGCCTAATCGCCAACGCCACTTCTCCGGGTGCCGTTTGTTGAGGGTGATGACAGTGGCTGGCATGACTGTCGCAAAAAATCTAAATAAATTCGACGTTAGGGTCCAAAGTGCGGGTAAATACCGCAAACGAGTCACGCACACACTAAATATACATATATATTTATATGTGTGTCAGAGGAGGTAAGCAAAAGCGAGCTGAGAGAGATTAAAAAAATAATAATAAACAACAATTAAATAAATAGAAAATAATATATGGAAATATGTACTAATGTTTAATGAAGAAAAGTGTTGTACAGTACGATACATAGATATATTTATATATATATATATATATGCATATATATTAATATACACTTTATATTGTCTTATTAATAATCACTTAAATGAAAAAATAATCGACTGAACAGCAGTAAGTTGAAAACAAATTAATTATATATATATATATATATATGTATGTATGTATGTTTGCGATAAAGATTGGCGGGTTATCGGAAAATATTAGTAATAAAAGGCACGCAATTAAATAAATTAAAACAGAATAAAATTTAAATTTATTTATTTTGTACTGTTTAAATGGAAATTAAAATAAAATTAAATGAAAAGATATTTAAAAAGAAATAAAGTAATTTACAAAAAAATTAACGAAATGAAATAAAAGGAATACAAGTAGAATAAAATTAAATAAATTAAAAAAGTTAATAAAATAAAATTAAATAATATTAACAAAATGAACTGGGTTAACAACAATTAAATAAAAAGAATAATAAATGAACGATATACAAATACATATGCATATGCAAGTAGATATATACTAAATATTATTTTATATGTATGGATTTTATCCCCAGCAAAGAATCGTATGAACTATTAATTAAATGTGAATAAAAATGTCTAAGTGCAAATAATCACATTTAATTGACGCACTTAATTTTTTTCAAATGTACATTTATATAAATTGCGATAAGCAGTTTTAATTGTTTTGAATAAAATTAAGAGATTAAGAATGTTTATAAGTATATATTAAAGCCTATATATAGATTTTCAATACGAAAACGCTGAAAATTACACGCTATTCGGTACTTACACATTATTTATATGAAAAATATTAATTTAACTAAATTTAATTTTTTTTTAACAATAACATTCTTCAGAAAATACTTCTGATTTATGCTTCTTCCTATTTAAAATATGAATCTTTGAAAATTTGATTTTTGGCTAAAAATTTTATTTAATTATACATTTCAGTTGCAAGGTATTGGGGAATATAACAATTAAGCCTATTCGCAGGTCACATAATATTTTTTTATGAAAATACAGAAGCAATCTTGAAGAAAACTGTCTATTGTTCAGTCCATTTTACGATGATCTCACACATTTATAAAAAAAACAATAAAAAGAAAACATAAATACATATATTTACTATAAATAATGAAAAAAAATATTACAAATATAATAATAATTAATTTAAATTAATTAATTAAAAAAATATTCCAAAAAAAAAATTAACTAAAAATGTTAAAAATTATTGAAAAGAAATGCCAACTTACATACTTACATATAAGCAATTTAAAGAATAACATTTAAGTCAAGAGAAGTAAACAGATGTAAGTAGATTAAATAGAATATATATATATATATATTAAAATTACAAAATATGAGATTTGAAAAGCGAAATCAAAATATATTAAAACAATAAATAAAAAAAGCAGAGAAAAAAAATTAAGTAAAAAGCATATATAAGTAAAAATATACCGCCATGGACTTGAAAAGCTCCTTCAAAACTCAACGAGATCAATTAGCCTACACTACTCTTCTACAAAATATAAAAATTGATGTGCTAAAATATAAAAAATATGAAATAGAATTGAAATATATATGTTTTATATCTTTATATGGTTTTTTAGCATAAAAATAAATACATACTTAAGTAATATAAATTGTGAAAAATGAAATGATGATAGTAGAAAAATTTGAAAATAAATAAATAAAATTTAATAAAAATTATTTAAACAAAATATTAATAAACAAAATTGGTAAAATGAATGAAAATAATATAAAATAAAATAAAAAAATTAATTGAATTAAATAAAATTGGTTAAAAAAAGTATATGAAAAAAAACAAGTGAAAAAAAAATTAAATTTAGAACAAAGTTTAATAAAATAAGATAAATATTAAATAAACTAAATGAAAAATTAAAATAGCAAGAATAACACAAAATACATAACAATCGATGGAAATCACATAAAAATAAAATATTTGGTTCTCACTTTTGTCTAAGTAAAATAAAATAAAGTAAGTAAGAAAATAAGTAAAAATATGAAAATGAAATAAAATAAATGAATAGAAATCAATATAATGAAAAAATGTGTAATATAAAAGCAATAAATTACAACAAAATTAACCAAACCGAAATGAAATGAAATGAAATAGAATTTAATTAAATTTAATTAGAAATTAGAAAAAAAAAAAAAAAAAAGATTATATATATACACAATTAAAAATAGGAAAAATTTTATAAAATAAGTATTAATGCTAAGTGTAATAAAAGAAAACTCCTTAGCTAAAGAAGAACTTCTATTCGTTGTAATGTATACGATCTGAAAATGCTTGTAATCTTCAATTAGGCTATAAGTAACATTCTAAATATTATTTTAAATATATATATGTACATTATGGTATGATTTAAATGATCGTTACATAGAAATCATTAAAGAAGGAAATAAATTTTAATATAAAAAAAAAAAATAAATTCTGCTTCATTTTGCAATAAAAAAATATATTTTTTTACTTGATTTTGCTAAAATTATTATTAATAGAAGATCTTCTGAAAATTTTGGTTCCACAAATAATTTTGACAATTTCAACTTCACATTGTTAAACTTACCATGGTTCTTCTGGTAATGTTCATGCCATTCGTTGCGTTTTTAATAAATCATAAAGTCATAAATCAGGCTAAATTCATTATATCCCATTGAGATGAATCAGTTAGCCCGATTGCAATTGGAACCCAAAGGTGTGACGAATAAAATTACTTTGTTTACTACAATATATACTCGTACATATGTACATAAAACAAGCATTAAACACAAATTAATTATATCTAGCTCCGAATGTTAGTTGAGCGAGCAGGTGGTTGTTAGTTGAGGCAAAATATGTCATACATATATACATATCTATCGTACGTATTATATATTGTTATGGCAAATCGATATTCGCATGCCGCCGAGTAAATGGAAAAGTGATATTTTGTTGTAGTAGTTAGCAACTATGTACCGACTACATTTCTTTCGCACATAAATAATTTTATTTACTGTTGTTTCGCCCGCCCGTATTGATATACGTGTATTAAGTGCACCTGCACAAAGCGATTCGTGTTAATCTCCACGGATAATCGAAACGATAACTATTTTTGGTATCATCGATAAGCGAGGCTAAATTATATATGGTTTTACAATGGGGATAAACATATGTGAATCGCGGATAATGCTGACAAGGCTTTTACCAAATGATATTGTGGTCTCTCAGGTTCCCAATGAGCGTCTACGTGCATATACCGAACGGATATGAATGGGTTTATCTGGTGCTTCAGACTGAGAAACGCGATGTTTTGATTTATAAACATTTTTTTACGCAACCAAAGCATTGAAATTCCCGACCATCCGTTAAATAATGCTCGAGTTAGGAAATTTCACCTATAAAATTGGCTAATCAATCAACAACATGAGCGGCTGATAAGCCCTAAGCCATAAATCCCTGTCAATACAACGTACGTCATTGGAAAATCTGTGGCGGAGTAAATAAAACAAAAATAAATAAGAAATAAAAAATAGAAATAATTTGCAACTGCGATAATCAGGGAAAGAAATACGAGCAGCTAGATAGGCGCCGGAATTTATTGTTATTTAAAAAAAAGTTCTGAAAATGTCATGACGGTCCAACGTAAGTCGTTAAGGCTTCAAAAAACTAATGCAAAAGCTTTCGGATAAGTTTTCAAACCTTTTTTTTCTCGAATCATCTGTTTACGTATAATCCTCTGAAGTAAGAAACTTGACTGCTGAATAAATTAAATTTTAGCCGTTTCCTGTATTTCTTAAAATAAATCTGTGTTGGTCTTTCAGAGGTCGGATTCGCAGCTTCGATCGGGGGAATCTCTTCTACAATACTAAATACCAAAGAAGTTCGAGGCAGAAAAAAGGTAGTCTGATATCTGATCTCACATTGTGAAGTGCTTCGCCTGCGGTGGTCGAAAAGCGAGGTTTCCCAGCAGTGGTGCAGTTTCAGCTTTCGCAATTCGCTATATTGGATAACCTTATTAAACCTCTTCAGGCCTCAGCAACAGCGCGGAATACGTTCATTCGGAAGATACTCTTAACTAACTGAGCCCGCTTCAATTTCTACAGCCTCTCTCTTTTGGGCAGCCACCTGGATGTTTCTGTGGCTTCTAATTCTTCGGAAACTCCAAGTTTTCCCTTAAACTCACTTTCAATCTCTCATTTCGGTAAAAAGTTCAGAGGGTTTCAAATACTTTCAACTCTTTTATTTCGTTAAAAAAATCAATATTCTATGTTTTATACAATAAATAACGCTACACACTTAAAACGATATAAACATTACAGCCCATCAACATATATGTATGAATATAAGTATAAAATATTTTCAGTCCTTTCTTAAATTATTTACAAACCCTCACCACCAAGCTTTTTGCGCTCAAAAGAAGAACACCTCACTATCATCATCCTCGCATTTGCTCAAACTTCGCTCGAAACTCTTCACGCGCCGGAACCACTCAGGATCTGTAGCGCTCACCGCCTCCGGACGTTCACTGTTTTTATTCTTATACAAATACTCCGTGATCCCCTGACCTCTCACACCATTAACCGTGCAAGCAACAAACTGGTTATAGATCTTTGCTGCCCAATCGGCACCCACATAACGCACGGTGGACTGTTGCTCCTCAATTTGCACGAAATACTTTGCCTTCGACGTCTGCACAATAAAATTCTTGTGTCGCGGTGGTGTTCCCTTCTCGCCATAAGAGTAAAGCTCAAAATTGCAGCCGGTTATGGGCTCATAAACACCCGTTGGCGTGCACACGTAACCCACTTTCAGCGAGGAGAGGAAGAATGCGGGCTGACTGAGATTGCCGACCATCATGCTGGTGCCGTCGGCGAGGAAGAGTGCGACGTAAACATAACGATTGATGTTCGAAAGACAACGCTCAGTGCCGAAACTATGATCACGGAATCCTCTCAATTGTAGCTCAAAACTGCGTCCGGACAACTGCACCTCGCCCGCCAGCTGACCACTTTGCTCGTAATGTGTGCGTTTCTCAACCATTTCGGGCACGCTTTTCAACAAATTATAGAAAGCATCATTCCAGGCCTCGCGTGCAACCGAATCCGCAATGACGGCAGAGCTCAAATCACGATTATAATAGAAAAATGGCGCTTGCGTAATGAATTGCAAATCCATTTCTACAGGCAGCAGTTTGCCTCCCGTAGCAACAGGGCGCAGCTCACCTTCATAACGTATGCGCCACGCACGCATCGACTCCTCGGGATACACATGGAAACCGCAACCTTTGAATTCATCATTCTCATGCGAGCCGTCTGTTGTGAAGTACAGCATGTCTGGTAGCTTTGGCGTGCAATACAAGCCCAGCTCGGGCAGGTAAAGATAAATGCAAGCCTTCAACACACCACGCCGGCGACGTTCCAAGTTCATAAATATCTTTTCACCCTGCTCACTGGCGCCGATGAAGGTTACGACATCGTAGCTTTGTGGATTGTCGCTAAGTGTTTGTGGGCAATCGATTTTTGCAAGAAATTCGGGCGATTTCAGTTCGTCCTTGTTGTGGTAGACGCGATGACGTAGACGTTTCACCAGCAACAGTGCGATCACGTATTTCAGTTGATAGAAGATTCCCTTCGCGGGATAAATACCGAAGATCAGTTGAGACTGCAAGCGCAGCACAACAATGATCAAGGCGAGGAAGAGCAGCAGAGCGACAAAACCGCCGAAAACAGCGCCTATTAGATACATCTTTCTTCGTTTTATATTTGTTTGTTATTTCGCAATGTGTGTACGTGCAACAGTAGCTCTCACGCGCGCGTCACCTTGAATTTCAGTAGAAAGAATTTTACTTCCAACTTTAAACGCCTTGCGCTAACGCGACCGTCTCGATCGACCCAATTTGAGTGACTGACGTTCAAGCCGATCGCTCGCTGGTGCTAAAGTATCGCAAAAGCTGCGCGCAAGTTCTAGCAGCAGCGGCGTGCGATGGCCGAGAGAACAACAACAAGTTGGTTTTTATTTATTTTTATTTTTTGCTTTTACAAAAGTGGATTTGTTGTTTGGAGGCATGTTAACCGGCGCCGCAACGATACCCCGCGCTCGACCACCAGCAGCTGTCCGTGTAGCGAATCATGAGTTTCGAAAATAGCGTTTATTCGCTACGAAATGTTATTGTTTATTTAGTTTTTATTTATTTATTTTTGCTTGAAGTTTAATCGGCGATTCGCTCGTCGGTATTGATTACAGTGGTATGTATACTTTGTTTTGCTGTCTACATTTCAAGCCGTTCGAGGTTTGGCGTTAGTATTATCAAGTTAGCATTCTTCGCTTCTACGACAGCAGTTGGGATTTTACTTATTTATTTCTTGGCTGCCGGACTTCAAGTGCTTTGATGAGATTAGATTTTGATTTGCGCCAGATTTTGCAATTGCAGTTGACCTTTGAGATGTGGACGAAGTGGAACGGGTACCTTGGGCAAGCACAAGCTGACGTCCTGACTTTGATCTAATCTTTCCCAAATTGCCGTGTTTCTAAAGAAGACTATTTTCGTTCCAATCGAACAACCATCCCGTGGTGTTTCATGCGTTGCAACGATAATCCTAGTACGTGTAACGTCAAGGCCACTTCCTCCTATAGAAAATTTTGTCGTAACGTGAACTTACTTGTGTAAGAAAATGAGCCGGTACCGTTTCAACATCGTCGTATGCTTTCCAGAAGCCCTTTTAGTGTACTGACTTCCAAGTGATCCCTCATCAATTACTTATTGTTTTATGGAAAATAGCCGATGAGACGGCCTGGGTTTACCCTTTTAATACGCAAGACATATGTAATTTACAGTTGATAGAGCTAAAAAAGGCCCTTCATTATGTAAGTCAGTCATGTGGATCACACAGGCGTGACGTTGGACGCGGCTTCCTTGAGATCCTAGATACATAACATTTAACTTGCGTTATTTGAAAGAGCTTCCCAGTAGCCATTTAAGCCTCGGTTTAATGTAGATGTGGATTTGACCGACCAGCTCTTATGCCTATTGAGCTTCATTAGTTCTAAAGTGGAAGTAATATCATTAGATTCCGGACTGCTCCAGCTTCGATTACCTATCTCAGCGCCCAAGCTCTTCAATTTCAATCAACTTTCAGTGAACGCACTCAGTCACGTAGCCTCCTTTCGCCTTATCAGTGATGCTGTTCGCATCATCATTGACGTCTTCACGTCCAAAGCTCAACCATCACCGATTCGATTTGTTTCATAGTTTTAAAATACCTAAAACAGAAAAAAAATAGAAAAAAAATATAAAAGTTTTAATAAGCGTGAAAACATCGCAAATATTTTTTTAATTTTTTTACTTTCATTTATACCTAAGACTTGACACTCGACCCAAGAAAGGACAGAAGTTGAAACTTTTCTGCGTTAAAAAGAAAATGAAAATCATGAGCATAGAAGAATTCTTGAAAAACATAAGACAAATCCTACTACTCCTGTTAGGTCACGCCTCCTTTCCACGACCTCAACGCACAAATAACCGTCAGCGCTACAAGGGTTGCCCAACCGATAATTGTTGTTGCAAAAATGCCAACAATGTGACGAGGTTAATTAACACGTGCCCGGCGATAGGCGACAAGGCGATAAGTATATATAAAAATTAATAATTGTAAGGATAATACGGTTGAGGGCGCACACAAGTCAGATAAACCGAAGGGCAAACGAAGCAATGAAGAAAAAATGAGCGATGCAAATGCAGTGAAGTAGAGAAAAAGTAAGCCGAGGCAACTGATAAAGGAGTGAGAGATTAATAACAGCTTGTGAACAGTTAGAATGACATGTATGGTGATGAACAGAAGTGAGGTTAGGTCATTGCATGCGCATTTGGAAGCACTTCGACGGTTGTGTGGGCGTTTTCCTTACCGCTGATAGCAGTATGGCTGGAGATTAAGCACAAGTGGGTACAAATTTGTTGTAGATAAGTAAAATATTTTTAAAAATTGATAATTCGAAAAATTTTGATAAGTATTTATGTGAATTGCTTGAGAAACATCGAAATCTTAAACGGCTTGATATTTACCTAGAAATGTGGAGTTTTTTTACTTTTATTAATAAAAGAACGAAATTTTCGATTTTTATTTTGTAAAATTTACTTGATATTCATGTGCTACTCATATAACTGTTTCTAATCTTTTATTGAATTTCATATACAAGACATACATCATTATATATTTGCCAATAAAATTGTAATTTTCAAATAGTTTTCGCATTAAGTTCGTGAATTTTTCAAAATATTATGCACTTTTTTTATCAGCGCGGCACATTTCAGCGGTTTGCGGCACGTGATGCTGTTGACAATGCTTCCCAACACGTGCTAAAAAATCACTTATCCCACACATTGCTACTTTTTGTGTAAGAAAACTCACAAACGACAAGGTAATTGTTTATCAACCGACGCTCAGCTATCGCTGCGAATTCTCATTCAAACGCATCCTTTGACCACTAATTTGATTTTTATTTGTATCCTGTATACACTTTGAATGCTGGTTGTCTGTAGATTTTTTTATTAATCCGATTAGTGGCACAATTATGATAAAGAATTACGCGTCGACGACAGGCGGCAGAAGTCAAGCGCCGGCGAAGTCATTGTTATAAGTATTTTTATATGTATGTACTACATACGTGTACGCATACAATCAAAACAAATAAACAACCACATGCGCAACATTTTCTTGCCCTGCCTCGATTTCTTTTTCTACAGCCACCCTTAATTTGAACGCTTCATAGCTGACTGTTGGCTTGTGATAAGGATTAGTGGCGGATTCCCAGACGCGTTCATAGCAGGTAGCTGCTCTTCATCTAAGTAGCCACGTGAGGGTGTGTGAGAAAAAGTGAAACTTAAACAAAGGCGTCTGCACATACATACATTCATACAGAGAATATTTGTAACTAATCGGCTGAGTAGTAATGAATATAAGATGAGCGATCGTCTATATACAAATTAATATGTACATATATTTACAGATATTAATTTTTACACAAAAACTTATATCTATAAGCAATTCACAGGCAGGCATTAGAGTTATACAAACAAAAACATGTTTTCCGAAATTTCTATAAAAAAATGCAAAATACATTTCTTGTAAGAAAGTTATTTAACCAAAACTTATTTAAAAAAAAGATTAATTTAATTTTTCTAATTGCGTTCGCCCCTTGGCATGGAATGTCGAGCCCTCCGAGTGTATTGCGGACACGAAATAGAGCTCCTCATAAAAAAAGCCATCAACCGTTCGGAGGCGGCCTAGCATAAGTTGTAGGTCCCTCTATTTGTTGGAAAACAACAAGACGCAAAACCGAGATTTGTTAGAGTAGCTTTAGCGGTTACAAAGCGCCAAATATAAACATATATACAATATAATAAATATATGTTAGTTGTTCGTGGCGAAAATAAGTCTAATATTTTTACTTTAATTTTTTATTGGAAAAAATCTTTGTTTCTGGATCAGTTTTTCTTGGCTTATTTCACAATTGAACAGTTTGAAGTCTCTACTACGTACGTTTATCAAGCCAGCGGCACTTAAACTGTTCATATATGTTTTTTCTCGCCAATTGATATTTGTATGGGAGCGGCGAAGCATAGCGGCGTGTGACAGAGCTTACAGGGTGTTGTTAGGTTTTAAAACATAATTATAAACAAATTTGTTTTGAAATTAATAATTTTAATGATATTAACAGAAAATGTTTCGAATAATTAAAGAATATGCTATATTTATTGCCTGGTTATTAAATTAAGAAATATACCTAAAAAAATATTTTTTAAATAGGAATATCCGTAAATTTCATAGATATGAGTATTGAGAAGAATTTACTCACATGAAAGCATGTCTGAGATAAGGCCGAGAGAAGTTGGATTTTATACGGAGGACCAAAGGCTTTCACTCCCGCAATATTAACCAAAAACCCATCTGGGGAATATTTTTAATGTTACAACAACAACAGTAAAGATTAAAAATAATGTTTATAATTGAAAACTGAATTTTTTTAATTCTTTTTCTACCCAACTCAGAAATTGCGCTACTACTAAAAAAGTTTACAATAAGATTTAGCAGGCGATACACTAAGAACCAAGCAGAGGGGACTTTTGCTCCGTATAGTATCACCGATCTGTTCAAAGTAGCAAAAAAGCAGATATCATATTCGTGCTATTGCAAAATAAATTATTTTGCCTTAGTGACGGGATTTCGCATTTTAAAAGAAAAAATCGTGTTATGGTTCTTGTAGTGCCAATCTTCTATTTAGTATGAGGGACAGTTGTAGAGCTTGGGTGCTCAGTTAACTGGGCCCAGAGGCTTTTAAATGTTTTTTCGTTATAAATATAAAACATATACATATGTAAAAAATAAAAGTTAAAGGAAAATTTATTCTAAGTAAAAATATACTCGTGTGTAATTTTGTTGAAATTTATTTAATTTATTGAAAAAAAAAAAAAGAAATTAATTTCTCAAGCTGATGCCGGTTTTCGGTTTACATGGCATTAGGGTGGTGAGTTTTTGTCAATTCTATTTAACTTCATTTAAATTAATTTTATGTCAAATATATGAAACACTCTACCAAGCAAGTCAGCTTCAACCAAACCAAAGCAACAACACTATCATCAAGGGTGGTTTTCTTAAGCGCTGCCATATTGAACTGCCAAGAGAGCAGCACCCGCATCGGCACTCACAGACATTAGCGCCGCCCCCAAAATGGGATGTGTTTAGCACTAACACACACTAAAGCGAAGAGAAGGATGTTTTTCTCGGATTTCCACAAAAATGTCTACTTCACATTTGAAATTCACTGCTCGAGCTGAAAGCACTGTATCACTTCGTTCAGTAGCAATCCGTTTAGGACTTAAACAATTTGTACTGTAAATAAATTTCACTTAATTTGTCTGTTATGGTGTGGGTAGCAACTACCGAGGCGGAGGACCATAATTCCTCAAGTAGAGGTAAAAGTGACACAATCAATAATCTGCCGAACGGAAATAGTTTAAGGAGTTGCAAGTTGGAAAATGAGCCTGCACAGGCCACTGTCGATTTGCGAACAAGTTCACCAAAATCGAACGCAGGTAGTTCCAGCGACATAGGTTCAGCTCTACTGCCGTCATGCTTGCGGATCGGTGCTACAAATGGCAATCCACCAGCGCTGGTGCGCTTGCCAGCAATTCAAACTGCTCGTTTGCACCCTAAGACTGAGTCGATATCCGACGGTGATCTATCGGATTTTTCCCTCAACGATACGGAGGAGGATGAGGAGGAATTTCGCAGCTGCATGCTCTCCAGTGGCAGTCAAGGTGACGGTGAGTGCTGAGTTGTCCCACATTCTTTGAATTTTCTTGTATTAATAAATTATAATCTTTCTGTATTCCTCCAGCTTCGCGCTCCCACTCCACTTCGCCGCGCAATATCAACATACTCCAGCCGCCGCGTCAGACAAATTCCCCGCCAAACAATAGCAATATCTTGAGGAATGGCCAACACATTAGCGGCGGTCCGGTGCGTAAGGTCTTCACGAATACCCGTGAGCGTTGGCGTCAACAAAATGTATCTGGCGCATTTGCCGAATTACGTAAGCTAGTACCCACGCATCCACCAGACAAGAAGCTCTCCAAGAATGAAATCCTTCGCATGGCTATTAAATATATCAAATTGCTCACTGGTGTCTTGGAGTGGCAGAAACAACAGGAGGAACTGCAACGCCAGCAGCCGATAAATGGACTTGGAATTTGTTGCGAAACGCGACCGAACATTGAATTGAACAACAATGATAAACATAGAATGAATGGTCATCAGGAGTCGTCCGCCGTCGGGCAACGGGAAACCGCACCGTCCTTGCAGCAAGTGCATACCAAACAATTTCCATTGATAAAGTATGAGCGCGTTGGCGCATCTTTGACTGCTCAGCGCAATAATAATCTTCTAATGATTGCCCCGGGTGCAATTAAATTGGAACATATAGAGACCGTGGACGGGGCTAGCACAGTCGTTGGCTCTGGTTTGCCCAACATTTCTCCTCAAACTGCTGGCATTCCACTGGATTCTCAGGCGGTCTCAATTGCAGCTGGACGTTTGAATGGTGTTACCGGCGGGCGTGCCCCTAAGCGCAAGTCGAGCTCCAAGTCAGGTGTGGATACGAGCACTGAAAATAATAAGAAAAGAAAGGAGAATTAAATGGTGATAAAAGTGATTCTTGAAAGAGAGCATGTTCTCTCTAAGTTTTTGTTAAAAATAATGTCTAAAATATCGGTGTTTAAATTGTTCGCCTCCAAAGGAAACCAAGTGTAATAATCAAAAAGTTTACAAATAATAAATATTCCAAAAAATGGATAAGATGGCTTGTGCATATAGAGAACTTAAGGTACATTTAAGGCCTCATTTTGATAGCACTGTAAAGTTCATCCTAATGAAAGCTGAGAGAAACTGTGGTGCTTAAGACTGGACTGACTGTTTTAGTATTCAACAGACTCTTCCTCCTTGCAGTTTTGACAGAAATCAGTAGCCCCTCGGAGGTCAGAGAACGTGTTTAGCTTGCGCCCGAGGTACTGGTGATTTAAATGAGTACCAAAAGACAACCTTACCATCTTTACTCGCCTCGTAGGCTGAGTTTATATTGGTTCCTCATCTCGTTGGCTCATCTCCCCGCTGTTATCTGGGCTGTCTCTGTGTATTGGTACCCAGAAAATTGTCGTACCAATAATGAATGTTCAAAAACAATACATTTTTCTACCATTGTCTGAGATTAACATTACTACATATATTCCATTTCAGTCGAGATTTGTGAATGTGAAGATTTTTTAAAAGCTCATGCTTCCATTCCCATGTAAGGAATATGAAAAGATTGACATTGATAGTAAATTAATTAGATGTACAGTTAAAAAGCTGTCAGCAGATGTCGCTTGGCACATTAGTTAAACATTTTTGAAAAGCTTTAAAGCCAAATAAGGCTGTATAGAAGCTCAGAGCACTAAAATTTCAATAGTAGATGTGGCAAAGCTCTAAAAAGCGGTAAAAGCTTATGCATAAGGTTAAGGTAGCTTTTTTCCTTTCAGCTAACGACCGCAGGGTGACAGCAATTAATTACACTCCTTGGAAACTTACCAATGTATTTTAACGAATTTTTTCAAATATTTTTAAATGACATCTGGTATGGCAGAGAATCACTCACATGGATTTACTTAGCTGTGCTGTGAGCCGATTTGAATGCATGGAGGCTCTATTGTAGCTCTTCGAACTCTTTCTCTGCGTGAAGAGGAAAATATTTAAATGTTTTTTGCACAAGCTCAAGTAAGGTTGTGCTGGCCTTCTCCTCAAGGAGCTGCACATAGGCTTTGTACATTCATTTCGTTTGCACTCAAAGCCTATTAGGTTGACGAAACAAAAGCGCGGACTAATACATAGATATCTATTCTCTTTTTATGTGGACCAGCTCTTGCAATTCCTCTGCCACTATTTTAATTGAAACTATCTAGTCTTTGAAGCTACTGCCATAGCTTGGCAGCCATTTCTAGTCGTGCTCCCCTTCACTGCTGATTTTGTCAACTGTAAACTCTACTCAGGAAATCCATTCAAAAATGTGAGTGAGTTTTCAAAAGTATCTATGAAGTTAAACCCATCAGAGAGGGGAGTGCAGTTTCTTCCACCGAATAGACCCCGGTTAATTAATTTTTTCGAATAACAAAAAGTTTCTTGAAGCGATATTAAGCAGGGTGGCGGCCGTAAAAGCTGAGTGGTTAGTGGTGCTTATTGCCACTCGGAAAGTCAGGATTCCAATTAAAATCAATACAAAAAAATTCAGGTAAATTAATAATTAAGTTAAGTTATCTAACTGCGGTAGCCCCTCGGCAGTGAATGCCAATTACCTCGAGTATATTTCTGACATGAAGTAAAAGCTTCGAGGCGGATTTGACGCACACGACAAATTGGAGAAGGATCTCTGCCGAAAATCGCTTCAGCGGTTACAAAAGCGCCATTTACATCTTTAATATATATATATCTATATATAAAGCGTGGAATGATGTACTGCCTAGAAATTCCTCAGCATTCAATGCCATAGACGGAGAATAAATCCATCTAATTAAAACTCAGTTGATTTTATGTTGTGGTTTCAGCTGCGAAAGGTTTTTTTTCTTATTACTGTTTTATTAAATTCTTTTCCTCATACATTTTTTACTGTTTCACTTGTTCATAAATTCAAATTTATTTTCATTTCTCTATAACCGTAAATTATATAATACAATTTTTAATACAATTTTCCTTAAGTCGATTTTTAAACTAGACTAAATAGTTTTTTCCCTTAGTACCAATGCATTGCTGCTGTGTTTCACCAATTTTTATATAAATACCGTTAATTACGTACGTAATTAAACATATTAAACAAAGAATTTTGCCAAAAATATTTGGTAAACTTTTGATCGTAAATATTTTATATTTTTTACACCATTGTCTTTTGGGTTACTCCCTTCTGCTGCCCAGATAATAGTAATTTTCATCAAGGATTTTCCCTTCTTCAGTAATAGACGAGGGAGGGTTGGAATATGGGCGAGCAGACCTGCCTTTTCACGGTTGTTGAGTCTCGCTAGGAATTTGCCCATTATATGCTGGTTGATTGAACTTTTTCCACTTCCCACGCCCCAAAACGCGTCCGACGCTCCTTTTTGTTTTTTCCTACCGCCACCATCCCCCTCTTAGTACTCGTCCTGCAGAATTTCATTGATTGTACGGGCATTCGTTAGTGTCGCCCACAGCGGCGATTGTACGCAGGCCAGCGTGTAGGCCTCCGCGTCGAGCGAACGTGATTTGCGCATGGAGCTGCGTTTCTTGGAGGCACGTTTGCTTGTTGTTGTTGCTGCTGCGCTGGTTGTTGTGGCACCGAACGTGGTCTCCTGTACCGATTCGGTTTTCCGAATTTTGAGTTTCTTCTGCGAATGTGCGCGTTGATGACTCGCCGCCCTGCCCGTGGGTTGGGGTGATAATGTAGCCGCTGCTGTCGTGGAAGGGGAGCTTTGCAGTAAGTGTGTTTGCTGTTCTTGTGCTGGCTGGTGTTGTTGTTGTTGTTGGTTGCCCACTAATTGTTAGCTTGAAAATGACATTTTATACGATGAGGTCGTCTCCATGGGCGATTCGGCATTCAATATTTCCGTTTGTGTTTGATCCACATCGCTGCAGCGTTCCTCCACTACGGTGTCGAGCTCCAGGGAGGTGAAACCCTGACTCAGGCTTCGTTCAGGGCGTAGGCTGATAGCTCGCGACGGTCGGTAATCTGTTTGGAGGAGGAGAAAAATAAATTACGTTTAGTACAAATGGCGAAAAAATGCGCAAGAAAGTGTTTAGTGAGTGTATGCAGTCGAATTGATTTACGATATTGGTTTTAATTAATTTTATGTTTAAAATTTTTTATATTGAAGAAATTGAAATTGAAAATAGAAAATTTAATTAATATATAAATATAAATAATGTATTGAATTAAAAAAATATGAATCAAGTAAAATATGAGAAGTCCAAAAATTGATTTGAAACTCCAAAAATATATTTTTATAAATTAGTTTACTTATTTTAATTATTGTTGTTGCTTATAGCTTCCATATTTAGCTAAAAAAAATTGCAATATCTTATAGCTAATATTGTAAGTAAATACTGCTATAATATCGTAAAAATTGCAAATTTTCTTGTAAATTATTTTACTGATTTTATTTGTTGCATTTCAATCTATCGTACTTCTTCCAATCACATACAAAAATTAATATCGTAAACAAAATTCCATATTTTTTTACTAAATTATTTATTAATGAAGTCTTTAATAAGTATAGCCTTTTAATATCGTAAATATTTTATAGTTTCAATATCGTAGAAAAAAATTTTTTGAAGCAAATGCAATAACTTAAAGCTAATATCGAAATTAATTCATCACCCATTGTATGTATCATAAAACTTCCATATATCGCAGCTAAAGATTTGATCTATTTCATTCACAGAAATCTGCAAATAAACTACAATATCACATACCTAGTATCGTAAACAATTTGTAGCCCATTTTTCTCACAACATTTTCTTATTATTTTTCTAAATTAAAAACACTATCTTCTAATTAATAGAGCTCATCATGAGGGACATTTTCCAAAATTTTTATTAAAATATTTTCCTCGTATTTTTCCAGGAAAATTCAATATCGTAAAAAATTTATTATTTATCGTTGTTTATACGTGTAGGTTATTGTGGCTTGCTCATTATTTGGATTTTTTTTTTTGACGAATAAAAACAATATGACTAATATCGTAAATAATTTATGTTAATTTTCAATAAAAACGGGCATGCATCATTTTGATTGAAATTTTGGACATTTAAGCATGAAAAATGCGATATCGTAAGTTATTTACTGCATTTCATAAAGAGACGAGTAAGAGCCTGAAAATATAATTTTAAAGCTTTCAGCAAAATTTAAACAAACATACATAGGTAGGTATGTATTGTTTGTGTATACATATATATTTCTTAATTTCTTTTTGACTCAAATTCGGTGCTTCTATATTTGAAATGCCGTAAAGCTCGACTAAATAAAATTTAAATGAAGAAAAATGCTTCTTGTGCTACCTTCGGCATGAACGATAATCATAAATCAATCGAAAAGAAATTTCAGATATGCAAATGCTTGCTGCGAAAGGTGAGAATTTTTGTGGGGAGAGCGACGGTGGAAAAAGATTAACAGACAAAGAGACTTTCATAAGTAAAAGATACGAAAAAGCTTTAAAAACAAATTGAACAAAAACTTTTTTACCGAAAAATAAAGATAAAAAATATATATAAAAAATATATTTAAATATTATTTAATATTAAAACTATGTAAAGCTGCGAACGGAATCTTAGACGAATTCCGAATGCGTAAGATTATGAAAAAAGAGATAATATTAAAAGAATTAAGTGAAAGCAATGTCATGCCAAAAAACGCTACCCAACATACATACATACGCTCTTTTTTTAAGTTTTTTTTTTCTGTTTTTTTTTCTGTTTTTTTTTTGCTTAACCTTGCGAGCGGCTATAAATTTTTTGGAAATATGAAGTATATTTAAAATGCGCAATAAAAATATTCGAATTTCATGTGAAATAACGAGTGCACAATAATACCACTTAAGGCGGTGTGTATGTGTGCGCCTAAAAGTAGACTTCGCACACATGCACGCATACAGCCATAAAATAGAAATGTGTAATTCGCTGTCAACGCCATTCCATGTGAATAAAAGCCGCGAGTCCTCAGCACCAACAAGCGGCGGCAGCTGCCTATAACATATTCGCACTTGTTATGTACCGTCGTTGTTGCCGGCGATGTTCGGGACGAGTCTGCCTGCTGCCGTTGACAGCCCCAACTGAGCTGATGAACTCCGACATGTCGGAAGTGCCTGTTGGGGGTCATGAATGTTTTATGAACGATAATAAAATGGAACGCGTGTAGCGTAGTGTATGTATACGAGTATGTGTGCGTATGCGCGTATGTTGGCCAGTGCCGACTGGTGTAAAACATGCTCTTGAGCGTTGCATGGCAATAAATGTAAATTTTTGGGCGCCAGCGGATGTGTGCAACAATGTAGGCATTGTAATGTGAATAAAGCTATTCTTGAGCATTTTTACTCCCCGTGTTTGACACAATTATTACATAAGACCAAGTTATTTTGAAAAAATCTATATTTATTCATAGCGCAATGCTTGATATCGTAAATTTATTTTGCTATAATTTTGCAAGAGTTTCATGTTTAATTTTTTTTGCTATACGAAAATTTGTTAGTTAATACCTAATATCGTACAACTGATATCGTAAATTTAAAAACACGCTAAAGGAATCACAAATATTTTAAATCACATTTCTTTTGGAATATAAACGGAATTAAACATTTGTTACAAAATTGTATAATATCGTAAGTGACATATCTTGAACTAGTCTCCACAAATACCCAAAATGTACGAAGCAAGTGGAAGGAAGACCTTAAAGCATGGATTTTAACCGAAAATGATTAGCATAATAATTTATTAAGAAAATTTCAGTTAAACTTTACTGGCTAGCTACACCAGCTAATATCGTAATTTAATGTAAAGATTTTTTTATAAACTAATCCATTCATTCAAACATTATTTATATTAATTAAAATAATAATATTCATTATTTTTATTTTCAACGAAGAAATTTAAAAAATATTTAATTTAAAAATATGCCAAACTAATATCGTATATTTCGCTGGAATCAAACATATACAGAAATATCCCATTTTAATGAAAAAAATTTAGCATCACTAATATTTTGTATATTATCAATGCGCTGAATATCGTATATTATTAAAAAGTATACTGAAATTTAATTTCTAGTCATTTTTTGGAAATTTTCAGACATCCTAATATTGAAAATACACTAGAAACACGTTAAACTAAAAAATGTTTATGCTTAAATATATTAAAGTCTGACGTAGTGCAATATCGTAAAAATTACAGATGGAAAAACTTTTTAAATATACCATTCCTATACGAATAGATGCTCTTCTCACCAACAAGCCAAAAGCTGTTTGATATCGTAATTTTTATATAATGAAACAATATAATAAATACGATAAAAATTAAAATATTAATTTTAATTTTGAGTTTCTTTTTAATTGCATTAAAAAACAATATGGATTGATGCAATAACGTAATTAATTTCTAAACTTATATAAGTGCCTATATGAATTTATGTTTGTTTGTGTTATGTGTGTGTGTGTCTCAATTATTTATATTGCATACTAAACACCGTTAAGAATGCATAACCTATATTAAATATGCAAGATTTAAAATATCGTAAACAAATTCAAAATAAATCACTGTACTACATTGTTCGGAAACCAATATCGTAAATCAATGAGCGTGTCATATTAGCTAAAATACTTGCGTGCCACTATTTTCGCATACATTATTTAGAATACAAATATATAGAAGAGAATATAGAGGTTATCGTAAAATTTTGAATATTGAAGAATGCTAACGTGCAATTTTTTTTAATTAAATATACGATATTAACATTATAGTTGCAAAATTTCTAATTAGATTTTTTCTATTAAAAAATACCAAAATAGTGCGGCAAGCATTAGCAGCCAAAGACAAAATGCGAAAAATTTGCAGAGTAGTATAAGAGTGTAGCACAACATTAGGGGTGCACTTATATGTGGCAATTAATAACAGTTTAATTTTTTTTATAATTTTTTTTTTAATTTCATTTATAATATACTTGGTGTTTATGTATTTTTAATATTGTTTCGTTTTTTTTTATTTTTTTATTTTTTTTTTATAAGCACACCCTCTACCAACACACAACACCGAACAACTCACTAAGCCTATGTATGGGACTAAATCTGACCAGGCTCACAGCATGGTCCTGCATATCGTAATTACGCCGACGATCCCGTTCCCGCGCCAATTTCGCACGTCGTCGCAGGCAACAGATGACCAGTAATGCCAATATGGGAAAACCGAAAATACACGAAACTATGGGTATCACAATGGATTCGGGTGAAACTGTAACGACAGAAAGAGAGAGAGTGAGCGAGAATAAATAAATTAAGGCAAAAGTAGACGATAACGATAAACATATTGTATGAGAGTATAATAATTGACTTCGGTAATTAAAAAAATTTCTTCCTGCAGATAGATAAAATCACAAGCACACTTTATGCCACATTTGCATACATATGACCATACGCTCTTTTTTTAAGTTTTTTTTTTCTGTTTTTTTTTATGCCACATTTGCATACATATGACCACATACTTATAGAGCTACCAATAGATATGCGCCAGACATCCGCTTTTGGTATCCTTAATTGTGTGCAAATGTCTATTTGTAGTTGTGGATTAAATGCAAACATTGTAGACCGTATGCGCATATGTATGTACGTTTGTCTCAGTCTCCCATCGCCAAGTTCAGTTGTTCATTTTAATCCGCTCAATTAAATTGTTTGCCATCTGCGGTTGAGAGTTGAAGTTGGCACAGTCGGCCAACAATGGAAAGTGAACTTCGATAGTCAAGATTCTAAAGAAAAGTTGTCAAAAAATAGTTTGATGATCCAGTACCAATTAATAAGCAAAATTAGTTACTGTTTGAGAGCCAACTTTGGATGATAGTTGGCTAATGTTTGAGAGCCATCTTAAAGTGAATACTTAAATACCATTTAACTTTCTATGATTTTTATATCAAACTTAAGTGGCATCATTGTGATTATTCCTTGAAGTTGGTTGTGATGAACATTCGCTTATCACCGAAAATTTTTACAGAGATTTGGTGTGTGAAGAAAATTTTGGAAAATATAAATAAGAATAAAAGAGAGTGTAGCTGAAAAGAATTCTTGTGAAAACAACAATTTTTACATAAACGTGCATAAGAGAGTATTATTTAATTCAGAAGTGGAATATTAGCAATAGAAATCAGCTATGTATATATATAATGTAGAAATGGCACTTTATAATCGCTGAAACGATATTCCTCCATTAGTTTTAGTGCGTCTTGTTGTTTTTTCCAACAAATAGGACAAACTAAAATTTAATCTCCAAACACCTGATGAGGAGTTTTTATTTAATGTCAGAAAAATATTCGGAAGTTCTGACATTTCCTCCGTCTTATAATTACAGTGTTAATCAATTGAATTCGAATTGTTTGAATGTCAGTGAATTAAGAAAGAATCTGGACCTTAAAAAAGGGCGGTATCACTGAATATTTCACCGGCTAGATCGAACTAAATAACCGTTTTCCGAGGACTGTTTTGCACGAAAATTGGCCTATGCAATGATTGCTCGTCTGCGCTTAATATATCTTCCCAGGTATCTCTTCTCGACTCTGCGGCAGCGGGGCGTTTCCTTTGGAAAATAGGATTCCGTCTTATTGATAGTCCTCCATTGCCACTCCTATTATGTAAATCTACTTGAAACTTTCCCCAGCACATTAAACACGTCAAATACATCGCCTAAATGCGGATAGCCCAGCCCACGACTGCACTGCCAGTCAGTCTTGTCATCAACAGTCAAGAGTAACTGCTATATTTACGCCCTCTTTTACTACCACAATTATTCTACTACTTTTAGCAACTTTTTTATGTGTTTTTCTTTCCGCCTAATAAAATTCAACCTTCACCGCATCAAGTTCAACTTTTGTGCCACGCACTATGTAGAGAAAATAAAAAACTTCGAATAATCCAGTATAATTTATCAATAACTATAAATTACCGTTAATATTATAAGCCAACAAAGCCAATGAGAGATAGAAGAAAAAATACAAACAAAAAGTGGGAAAATATGCGATAAGCCAGGGATCGCACTGACAGCGACATAAAATAGATAAAAAAGTTTGCTAAAAATAGAAATAACGGAAAATTGAAATGCAAAATAAAAAAGAAATAAAAATGTGCTGAGAAACTGAAAAAACGATGCCAATGTATGGCCGCAGAGCACAACACAGCTCGGCTAGAAGCGCCACAGTTGTCACCACGCATCATTAAACCCAATTAACGTCAGCCGTCATCAACGCAACCGAGATAAGTAGTAGGCAACTGAGCGCCTGCCGTCAACACGCAACACACAAACAACAAAGCCGAGGAACTAACGCCATTAGCGAACGCTGCAAAGGGAGAGGGAGAGAGAGAGAGAGGTAGGAGGAACTAACAAACTCACTTTCGGAGACCGGCAAAGGCAAAATGCCGGCAAAATATGTGACGCAAAAAACAAAGGTGATTTAATGTAGGTCAAAGAAGCTCGGTTCGTGACAGCCGGGACGCGGTTGAAGCCGGTGAAGCTGCCACAAAATGACAAAAAATCAGACCTCAGATACGACAAGCCACGATTCAAGCATTAGGAAGCCTAACGAGGAAATGTGGTTGTCCAAAAACAAAAAAAAAAGACAAAAACAGGAAAGAACAGAAGTGACGTTAAATGCGCCTAAAAGCACAGCTCACTAGTGACAGTCAACTGACGGCGCGTGCTTACAATTAATTCAAAGTGAATGCACAACAAATAAATGAATGTCCGTTTTCGGTACCGACCGAAAGCAAAATATGCGTATAAAGATACAAATTGCCCTGTACTAAGAGCTGGTGCCAATGGCTTGCATTCCATTTGCCCTTTGAGATGTTCCGGCGCTCGGATTACCTTACGGCTTGCTTCCGAATCATCGGAAATACGATTGCAGGCAATCGTTCATATCGATTCTAGGATAGTTGTTACACTTTAGATTCTAATCCGAACTTCTCTGTATAAGGTTCGCGATCAACACTTCTCATTGAGTGAAGATTACTTCGATTGGTTCTCGACGCAGGGGTTCCAAAGGATGTGGTTTCACAGGATGGTCAAGATTTTTAATTCGAGAGAAGTACTGCTTCTTCTATCAAAGCTGCTAATCTCTTAAACTATAGCTTCGTTTTCATCTGACATTGTGTCTCCGGCACCGATATTTCGCCTATTTTTATAAGATTCTTTTCCTTTTTCGCTTTTCCGAAGCTTAATTTCGTCGCATCTCTATCCACCAGTATGTGCCTCATATTACTGTTAATGTGTTGCCTTGTCGATTTCAATTTTCTTTTTTTTTTCTTTTTTGTTGGTCTCACGACAAACTGTCTCTTGTTGCGTGTCATTAACGACAGCTATTTACACAACAACAAGAGCAAGAGAGACAACAAACACAGCTTTGTTGACAACGAAATGTAATATTACATTAATGTAAATGACAAGTGCGCAGTGAAGTATGCAACGAATTCGAATAAAGCATACATTTGGGCATGAATGCGTCAATTTGAAGCTGACAAAGTTCTGTTAAAGAGAGATTTAATTTTAGCAAATATATGAAGATAATGATGTGAAAAGGGCAAAAAGTCATATGAGAAGTAATTTCCAACAACATTAAGGGAAACTAATTGTTGAAGTCAATGAACTGTGAAGGCCTAAATGTATGCTTGTAGTTAATTGAGAGAAAATATTTCTCCTCAGAAAAGTATAATTTTGGGCTGCTAAGAAGCAGTGTTTTCCTTTGTCGGAGGGAACTAAGATTTTTAGGTAGCTTTAGGTTTTAAAGACGTTCTACACAGATCTGTACTTCAATTTTGATAATGAGAAGAAGAATATAAAAAACTGGGAGAGCATATAGACTTTAAGATGTATTAAAAGTGCAAGGACAGAAAAACGAAGGATGAATTTAGCTTTTCCTAAAGAAGCAGCTCAAAGTGCGCTTGTTGAATGTTCCGTGATCGAGAAACTTCTAAAACTAGTTTACTTAGTACGCCTGACCTCAAGTAATGGAAATATTTGTGCTGCTGGATTTTATTATTGGCAATGGTAGTCCCAACGAAGCCGCTCGAAGACCTGGTTGCTTTCTTTATCCTCATGTTGTTATTCATTAGATTGCAGTCCTTTTCTCTTCCGAATTCTTCTGTCTGAACGATGCTCGGAATATTCCTCCGTCTCTACCTTCCAGTCGTTGGTTTAGTTTTTGAAAAACAGCGATTGAAGTCTTAGCCGGAGTCGCGAGTTGGCTAAGGATAAAACTACCAAAAGGAAGACGAGGGAAGTCTGCAGTGAATCAACTGAGGATTTCACGGAAGAAGCCTGCCGTCTCTAGCGCTATATAGGCGATATTCTGGGGACGCTTAGGCTGGCAGATCTCACTATCTTCCGAAAGTTCAATTCTTTTTATAAAAAACATGAATCTTTTGATAAACAGGTTTTCCTACATTTATTTTGAGCTTCCTTCTCATTTCCTCCTCGCCGAAGGTGACCAGCAAAGCCAGTCAAATATGTGTCCTGACCCCCTTCAAAACATCAATGAATTTATATGAAAATGAGTAATGGAAGTAGCAGCAGCCGAAGATAAGCAAGATGGAAATGACTAATGTTTACAACGGTAAATGAATGATGAATGATGACGATAATGAAAATTAAAAGAGAGGAAAGTTGAGCAGGTACTGGGCACAAAGAGCGATGGCGACGAATTTCGGACACTTTCTTTGGAAGATTTATTACAAGGGAAGCCAGAAGTTGATGGTCGAAATTGAAATATCAAATATTTGAAGTAAGGAAAATTTAAATTTAGTAAAATATATACCTATTCGTATATACATATATATATATTTCTCAATAAAATACAAAAACACTTTTAATACAACAAAAATGCAGTCAGAAATTATAACTGTAATTTGTTACGAAAAAACACCACAAATAACCGCAAGCAATAATTATCTGACAAATGACGAGCGAAGCATGGCACGATACAAAGGCAAGTGAGAAATATACATACGAGTACATACATACAAACAAGTATAGAAGGAACGATATATATATGTACATATATATGTATATGGTGTGAGCTCAGTGCTCCCTGTGCTCCGCAAAGGATATTCATTTGCTAATTTAATTGAATCTCGAGATAAATGTCATTTGAATCAATAGAAATGGGTGCGAGAGAGTGAGTGAGAGAGCTATAGGGAGAGGGGTAGGGAGAGTATTAAATATATAATATATTTATGATAACCAAATCCAATTAG